AAAAAAAGTCAGTTCGTAGGGGGAAAACAAATTTTTCGGCCGACCGACACAAATACATCTCACCGACTTCAAACTTCTACGTTGATATAGTACACGAGGATCGAGCCAAATAATAGACACAGCGGACCCGACACAGCAACATATTCATCTATGTGTATCTTTCTTGCCCCTCGACGTGGTAACTCCACCCATCATCCCCCCTCCCTCTCACACTCCCACCCCTCTTCTCTCAGGCTCTTACCCCCCCCCTCTCTCCTCTCTTTCATCAACGGTTTCTTTTGTTTCCCTTTTTCTTCTTTTTTCCTTTTCTTTCTTTTCCTTTTTTTCCCCTCTTTCTCTTACTTTCTTCTCTTCTCTCTCCTTTCTTTACTTTCTTTTCATTTTCTTTTCTTTTTTCATTTCAATTTTACCAACAATATCCTGACAGGTGGGGGTGACGCACCCCCGCCCCCCCCCCCCCCTTTAGCAACGCCCCTGGTTGTTATCCCATTATTCTTTTTAAAGAAATGCAATTCCTCATGCTCTCGCACCTCTCTTCTATCTTTTTTAATTCTCCCTAATTTTTTTCTTTTCTCCTGTAACTCACAAAAATTATCTCTTTCTCCCCTTTTCCATCTTTTTTTTGGGTTCCAGTTCTTGTTTTTTTGTTTTGTTTTGTTTTGTTTTTGTTTTGTTTTGTTTTGTTTTGTTTTGTTTTGTTTTGTTTTGTTTTGTTTTGTTTTGTTTTGTTTTGTTTTGTTTTGTTTTGTTTTGTTTTGTTTTGTTTTGTTTTGTTTTGTTTTGTTTTGTTTTGTTTTGTTTTGTTTTGTTTTGTTTTTGTTTTGTTTTTTTTTTTTTTGTTTTTTGTTTTTTTTTTTTTTTTTTTTTTTTTTTGGGGGGGGGGGGGGGTTCACGCCTGGCAAGAGGGACTCCATATTATGCACACTGCAAAATTGCGTGCCTACCCCCCCCCCTTTCCAGTTAAAAAAAAAAACACCTTTTTATGATATCATCCCCTTTCTTTCTTTCTTTTCTCTTCTCATTATTCTCCTTTTTCCCCTTTTCTCTCCTCCGTCTTTCCCCCTTTCTTTCTTTTCTCTCCCCCTCCTTTTCTTTTTCCCCTTCCCCCTTTTATTTAGCGGGGGGGGGGGGGGGGGGGGGGGGCACATGCCCTCTGTGCCTCCCGACAATCCGCCACTGTAACATGTACATGTAGTTCGAGGTTAATTCTATTTAAAGGTCCTTACAAAAAGAGGAGAGCACTGTAACACCCCACCCCCTAGCTCTCCCTCCTAGGAGCACCATCTCTGGTATAAAGGAATTCTGTTTTTTCATACCAAAAAAAAAAAAAAAAATAATAATAATAATACCAAGTTTCAGTAAATAGTAACTAATATCCTTACATGCATAGTGGTTATTTTGGAAGTACTCCTTTGGCATCTCTTTTTGAATCGTCGAATTTCGTTTCCTTGTACTTTCAATGCTGCTTCAAAATTTCTTTTACGTGAACGTGGACTGCATTTCGATTCATATTCGTGGTCAAAGCTGGGATGCTTGTTCCGTCTAGCTTCAGTTCTCTGTAGATTTATTAAGTTTGAGATTTCATGAATTATGTGTTCAACAAAATAAATATGTAATTTTAAGAGGCTTTTTACCAATAGAGTTTGCCCTTGATCAAATTTGATCAAATTGTGCAACGTTAAACACTTTATCCATTTAAAAGCGAGCACTCCCATTTGCCCTGTACTAAAACACCATATAAATGTGTATTTTCCACTAAGAACATTTTCAAGCATACATTCATGGTTTACCATGAATAAAAGTTTTGTGAACGCGCCAATAAAGAAACGTTGCAACAACTTGTCCTGTTCTTATTCGTATTTATTCTCTTCTTCAGTAATAAGTCATCTTCACGTCGATCATCAATCAGCGAATCAGTGATTAGCAAATCAGAAATTCAGCAATTAGCGGTTCACTGTAAAAAACAAAGTAACAAAGCGTTATAAACATATGCATCCATATAAACTGAATTAAATGCACGTAAACCTGTCTATTTTACAGTGAATCTTGTAATAGTCTTGGTATCTAAATATGATCTTTATTTGAGAAATAAACTCCCAAAAGGAATATAACTATCCAGCTATACAGTGTACTCACTTATGTCTCTGCTTAATATATCCTCATAAATTACTGTGCTTGGAATGTATCTATAACGCACTGTGTTCTACTGATACGGCATCATCTTGCCCCCTTAATTAAGCAATTATAAAGTAGTCGATGTGATTCCAGACCCCACAACTGACAACTAATAATATTCTCTCAGAACGGTCTACATGCTCTATGTTAATGGTAATTGATATCTTTTATTTCTTGCAAGGTGTGCAAGACACTATAGCAAAGTAAAATGGGAATTGTTGAAGGAAAAGGGGCATGTGTCAGTATAAAAGGGGCACTTTATATCAGAGGTGAAAAGGGGAAGGGGCCATTTCATTTCACAAAGTAATATAGGGGCACTAGTCAAAGGTAAACGGGGCATTTTTCCTTTGTAAAAAGGAAATTTGAGGGTACTTGAAAAAGGGGGGGGGCATACTTACTGTTTTTAAAGGACAGATCTCTCTATGACATTTGATCATGGCCTCATGGAAGGGAATATGGTCCGAGCAAACATATACGAAAGAGGATGGAAGGGGGTCCTTATCTGTCTTCAGGCGCAAATTATTCTCACACAAGAGTCTCTTGAAGACAACGTAGTTACGTGGTGTAAGTCTATAATTGCAAATGAAATAAAAAACAAATACAAAAGAAATATTAAACATTCTAATATGATAATATCAACAAAAATTATGAATATAATTCTTTGTACTGTACAATTGATTAAAATACCCTTTGTGTAGAACTGCTTAGAAGGAGATGGCTACGTAGAATGAAAGTTCAAAGATATATAAACTCCATGGAGGTAACTTAGTATTTCAAAATACCTCACATGAAGGTTAACACAACTTCAAACATTCCTTGAGTCAGATCAGCCATTGAAAGTTGAAGCTCCACAATTGGCCAAGTCAAAAGGGTATCGTAGAAAGTAGACAACAACATAATCAATTTCAGACAATTTTTCATCAAGTGAAGTCTAAAGTCTAAACTTACAAATTTCATCCATTATCCATTGACCATACTGTAACAAAGGTAAACAATACTACCTACCGGTACTTAAAATGAGTCTAAATTCTAATATCTTTTTATTTTATTTCCACTATCATTTCATTTTTTTTTAAACTGTGCTCTAAACAAATGTTGTTATTTCGCTAGTCAGCCTGATAATATAGATAATAAAAATAATAACATTATGTGGCTTTGTTTTTGTGTGATTACAAGAATTTATTACTCTCGCCATGGCAATATATTGGACTCATAGCTCGAGCAATAATAATATTCTTGTATCACACTCAAAGGCAAAGCCATCCAATATTATATAAATATTAAACCAATGTCTAGATCAGCTAGAAAGCTCTAGAATATACCCCCTCTCACTCACTCTCCCCTTGTCATTTTGCTGCAAGGACAAGGCGAACATCCTCATATATAATTAAATGCCATATTCATCCAATAATACGCAATAGACCTCTACTAGATCTAGATCTACATGTGATTGTGAATTGTGTTAATTTACACTAAACAATTATGAATTAAATACACTTTTTGATAAAAAATCTACCCTTCTACCCTTCTACCCTTACTTTAGTACCCTAGTCTCTACATACAGTACACCAAACTTACCGTTGAAATGATTTGTCGCAATCGGGAGTCCATTTGGACTTGCAGTTAATAACCGAGCAATATTTCACCATTTTCGAAGTGACCAAAAGTGCAAAACAAAACAGAAAATACAAATGGACTACATGATATGTAGTTAGAATTTACAACTCGGAGTAGATGACCTAATACTAGAATAAATGAAACATTATAGAGGTCTAGGCCTATAAATTTCTTGAACGGAAGCTACGATTCGATGCAAGCCGTCGGCCGTACGTCCGTGGACGCTGTGATGAAGCCTAAACTTCGCGGTGCCGGATCATCCTCGGCCTCCCTTCTGATTGCACTCTCACTGTGTAGGTTAGAAAGAATATAATTGTTATCATTAGTTACTATAGAAACGAAGCGCATCAGTCACCAACATCGTAGGCGCATATGTTTAATTTTGTTTATAGTAATTTTTCCGACATCTAAATCACTACAATCAGCATCAAAATGATAGCAAACCTCTACAAACTACTTGTATCGCTCGTCCTGTAACAAGCTGGGTAGAAATTCCGTCCCCAGCCTGCGCCGTGATCCGCGCACAAAATTACGTTGACGCGACGTACGTGAACTGTGATCAGTCTAGCTGGCCAGCTAGACTAGAGCTGAATATATTGTCCAATCAATTATCTTGCCTAGATATGATGACTGCGGACATCAAGAAAACGGGCTAAATGTAGAGACATGTGTACACTGATACAAATATTATTTATATCAATGAGGAGTCAAGAGTAGACATTAGTTCGATCTTCGATGTACGATTCTAATTCAACGACATAGCCCATACACCGTAGGCTAGGCTGTACGACATCAGCTGTGCGACGAAAACCTCTCGCGATCGAGCGAGCTCGCATTTGCATTTTGAGCATCGCGCGCTGGATATACGTACGTACGTACGTCACTACAATTAATTAGTATGTGAAATAGTTGATTATTTATGTAAATCATATGCCATAAATTTACATGTCATTAATTGAAGGTTTCGCTGGTGCACTAAAAAATTTGTCCTCATAAGCTAATACACGATAAGTGGAAGCAGTGTGCACTTTTGACCCTCCAAAATTTCCCCATGGCGAGACGGATGCAGAAGCGGAGTTGAACCCCGATCAGCCCCGAGACCATCTCTGCAATGACATATTGTCCCACCGCCAGACTCGTCAGGATTTATAAGCTATTATACATTTTATTCTTCTATCAAAAACAGGGCAAAGATACAAAGAGCAATTTACATGTACATAACTCACTCACCTTTCTTCTTTGGTTAGATGACAGTTCTCTCTGGCTGCATCTCCTGCCACAAATCTATGAAATCAGGGGGGGGGGGGGATTGAATAAGAAAGGGAAGGATATAAATAAACAAATCAAATACATGCACACATGCATGTATGACTGTAGAGTGTGTATTTTATGAAGCCTGTGGTGCAGGGAACCCCCATAAGATTAATCAAATTAATTAATTAATTAACAAATGAATAAATAAATAAATAAATAAATAAAAAGATATAAACAATAATAATAATATGGCTCTCTCATATACCTGGGAGGGGAAAATGAATTCATCACAGGTGACCTACACACCTCTGCCATCTGTAGAGGTTTATTTGATTGCGATATGCAGACATGCTAATCGTTCTATTCTTTTTCAGAAGTTTTGTGCTTTGTCGCCATCCTAATGAAAAAGCTTTCCTAAGTACAGGATTTTTTTTGGAGGTGTTTTATAACCAGGCTACAATGAACATCCCAGAGTACCTACAACTTTCAGCTTCAACCCCTGTTGTGTCCATTTGATCAAATTTGCAATATAGGCATACAGATTTTTAGTAAAATCTGCTTCAATTTATCAATTTTCTTTTCAATCAGTACAAGGCATGGTAGTTTCATATAACAGTATCTAAAAAGTCATCACACACCTTGGATTTGAAAGCAATTATAGTATAATCAGATCCTATCATTTCCTTTGTAGATAAAGTCTTCTTGACAGAGGCTAAATAAATTGTATTATGAAAACTGTCAGGTACATGTATAATGACCCTTCCAGAAATGGTTGCACTCACTGTGAAGACATTTTTACCAAATTCAACAATGACCAATGGAAAAAGTATGATGAGTTACAATTTCAACAACTAAAAGTTTACTTTATAGAATACTGAAGTGTGACGTCATATTAGGAAAGTTTTCAAATTTGCTGGTTCACACCGTCCCCAAACACCAAATTTGCCCTGGTCAAGACTGTTGCTTGAATGATTTTGCAGTGAACCTCATGCGCAGGCTCTGTTGTTTGGAACCAGTTATCTGGACCATGAGCAAATATGATGTTTAATAATAGCACTTTGGTACTCTATTGTTCGAAACCTTGGTAACATCTGAAAGGTTAAGTTCATCCTAGTTACCCAATGATAGCAGGATACTTGCTGCCTGGCTTGCAATCATCCTGTGTCCCACATATAATTCCATCAGCCAAAATCAGGCCGGAATAATCTACAACGAAAACACAAATTAGAGATTACTACACAAATGATGCATGCGAGTCGGAGTCCATTATACGCTCTATCTGCACTCGAGTTGAGGCTGTACGCACCTATCGTACAAAGCCGTCAGGCTGAGGACAGAAAACAAATACAGCCTCAACTAGAGGGGATAGATCCTGTATTGAATGAATGAAAATATGCATTACACAACGAAACTCCTGGATCCTTGTTATTTGATGTAAACAAAACAAATTAAGATTGTTTCTTGTCATTATCGCTGAAAAATAAACCATGTACTGGAAATTATTGCATGATTTTTATTCTTAGTAAGAAAATTGCACATGCCTGCTGTTGACCAATCATTTCATTTAACTATACCTAAATTATTATCATTTTTTTCTTCTTTTTGGATGGGGCATTAGGTACCCTTTAAAGGGAAAGTCCACCTCGACGTTCGATTTAAAGGTAAAGACCAGAATTGGAAACGCCCCAAGTTTAAAAATTGAAATGGAAGCTTTTTATTACCAATCATGTGAAAGAAGATGTTTTGACTAATACATGATGATACATATTTTGTTGGGAAACCACCTACTAATTGATATATTTGGTAAATTAGTTTATCCATTGGACAGTGAGAGATAAACGCACGTGTTGCGCATGTGTGCGTAGTCCCATATACATCTTTTGGTGTACAGTGCTTGTAACTTTACGAAGACTGGGCCAAATTTCTTATCATTTTGATGATTCCAGAACCTTGCAGTACACACCAATACTTATATGTTAGATGATCAACCTTTTCTGATCGATTCCACAACGTTTCTTTCACAATGCAATCGCATGACCATTACTGGTCTTTATCTTTAATAAAAGCAGAAATATATCAGAGAAACAGATATATGAATGTTGGAGCAAAATTTGATAAAAATAATAAAAAAGTTATGAATTTTTAAAGTTGAAAGCAATCACACACAACTCGTAACTCTGTGATGCATCTTTCAAAGTCCAGTCCCATTCGCTCTGTACAGAAAAATTTAAATATTTCTATTTTCTCTAAAGATATAAAATCATATATGCACCTTACATATAGTCATATGTAAATATGTGTTTACACAACCTCTGTAAGAAACATATCTATTCCTTCATCAACAACTAAGAAAATGGAAACTTCTGACATTTTGTGTACATAAACAAACATCACCAAATCAGATTTTATGAATTGAGGATTCGCTTCTGATCTGTCAGAAATTGCTTGACTTGTTTAAGTGCTGTAATGTGGATGTCTCAATGTACATGTATTGTTTCAGTATACAGTGAAACCTGTCCATAAAGGCCATACAAAAGCCCCAGGCATTCTGGCCACTATCGACAGGTGACCTTTCTAGACAGGTTCTGCAACACACTTTCTAGGAGGAGGCAATATAGTTTGCCTTTATACCGTGTGAGTCAAAAAAAAGTTTACACCTTGAAAATTGCTAATTATTTTAAAAATCATCTACGAACAGTAAATAAACAGAAGGCATTGTTAGCGAGAGTGCAAAAATCGACTTGCGCCAAAGTGAGGCCTACAGTATGTATTATGTTGGGATTAGCGGAGTGAGAGAATGAATGTATCAAATGAAATGCATTATATATGAGATTTGCAGAAGCAAAGTCACACACACAAACACACACGCACACAAATGTTCTTTGATATGTGTGGCATGATTCATTTTGTTAGGGATGTTATTTGGATCTGCAAAGATCGAATTAATACCAAATCCAAATTGTTTTATTCAAACATCACATAAGCAACATTGGCGCAAGTCGTTTTTTGCACTCTCGCAAACAATGCCTCCTGTTCATCCAAGTGTGAACACATACCACACAAAATGATATATGGTGATTTGGGATAAAACACTCTTTCATAAGATATATAATGATTTGATGTTCATTGATGATTTTTTTTTTTTAAATTAGCAATTTTCTAGATGTAAACCTTTATTTGACTCAAACTGTAGAGAGGTGGCAACTAAGATAGGTTTGATTAATCTCCTAAGCAGAAAAAAATTGCACTCAGGAAAACAAAACTCACTAGAATCTCTCCAGAAAGGCCGCTCATAGTACATCATAGTCTTAATCACAGACCCCATTGGATACCTTTGGTTCAGCTGCAGGGGAAAAAAGGAGAAAGGTGTGACATAAAGTCCATTAGATATGTATCTATTGCAAAATAAATCATTTAGATGAGATGGACAGAAAATTTGAAAAATAAAAAAACAAAGAAACAAAAACATTGACAACAAAGAAAAGAGACTACATGTACCGGTAACATATCCTTCAAGGTTTTCCCAGTTTGTCTTTTTTGAGATTTATGTACACAAATTTGATTTCATGGAAAATTCCATTTGTTAAACATTCACACATGTGCCATTCAGCCATAACCCAAATTATTGGCGACTAATAATTGCTAAAAATTCAACATTCTGAGTATGTACAGTAGGCTTACAGTTGCACCATGTAAGAGGGAGGGGGGGGGGGGGAGGATTGGGGAGTCCTGAAAAAGGACTGTTGGTAATCTTTCTTGTGTGTGTGCAACATGGTGCATCCGTAAGCCTACTGCATATCCACAATCTACATCACCATGCAAGCCGATACTTCATAAGCACCATTCTGAGTATGGCTTCTTAAAAATTCAGGGTCCATAGCTAACTCCAACTCTTCACAGGGTTTAATGTTCTCTCGCTTTGTATACATATATTAAACAAGGGAAACGCTCTCGGCGGTCTCGCCTGCATAACGCAATTCAATATGATAAACCAGAACGTCAATGACGTAGCGCTCATCCGCATCTCGCAACAACAAATATCGTAAATTTTATGTAGTACACTTTTGTACTGGTCAAAAAATTAAAAAATTTGATGCCCTGGAAGGGAAGTAATTCCATTTCATTTGCATAAAGTACCATAAATAATCAATGGAGCAAAATCTCACAAATCTGTGTAGAAATTTAGTGTGCCAAATTTAGCTCTACCAGATAAGGCAAACCAAATCAAATCGGTCAAGAAATGAGGGAAAAGAAGCAATTTTAGTTATTTTTGGAATAAATTTGCATAAATTACCATAATTAATTAATGGAGAACAATTTCAAAATTCTGTGTAGAAATTTAGTGTACCAAAGTTAGTTGTACGATATAAAGCAAACCAAATCAAAATCGGTCGAGAAATGAAGGAGAAGAAGACTTTTTTGTGATTTCGAATAAATTTGCATAAATTAGCATAGATAATGAATTTCACGATTCTGTGTAGAAATTATAAATCCCTTTCCTGGCTCTATCATATGAAACAATCAGAATCAAAATCGGTTGAAAAATAACGAAGAAGAAGCATTTTGAAAATCTTGATGTTGATGCCACAACAAAGTCTAAGTTTGTTGACCTTAAATGACCTTTGACCTTAACTTAGTGACCTGAAATTCTACTCACATAATTGGGGCGACTTGATAACCCTATAGTCCAAGTTTCATTGACTAAGAACTTATACTTTCAAAATTATATCAAAAATTCAAAAACTTAACATTAAGTTAAGTTTTCGATGATGATGCTACAACATAGTCCAAGTCTGTTGACCTGAAATGACCTTTGACCTTGACTTTGTGATCGGAAATTCTACTCACATGATTGGGGATACTTGATTACCCTATAGTCAAAGTTTCATTGACTAAGAACTTATACTTTTAAAATTATATCAAAATTTCAAAAACTTAACCTTAGGTTAAGTTTTTGATGTTGACGCCGCCGTCGCCGTCGTCGCCGTCACCGGAAAAGCGGCGCCTATGTCTCGCTTTTTGCTACGCAGGCGAGACAAAAACTAAGAAAGTAAAGTATTCAACTGTTACATCAGTCACTCTGCCAAAACAACTCAAGACCAATCCAATATGACCAATATTTTGCCATTAGTTGTATAGGGGCCAAATTTTTTATCATTTTGATGATTCCAGAACCTTGCAGTTCACACCAATTCTTATATGCTAGATGATCAACCTTTTCTGATCGATTCCACAACCTTTATTTCACAATGCAATCATATGACCATAACTAGTCTTTATCTTTAAAGTCGATCTGAGTCTTTGCGAAACACTCCCTGGTGTCAAACTCATCCATGGATGTGTCATTACTAAAGATACGGGATGTTTGAAGCTTACCTGATGTCTGAGTGATGGTAGATTAGGAGTGAATGCAATCTTATTGTGCATGGCAGGAGGAAGAGCTGCTATTATATACTTGGCCTGAAATAAAAGGATAAAAAAAATATAATTAATACCATCCCATGCCCTGCATCAAACACTATATTACGCTCAATTCAGTTCATTTACTTCATTTTATTTTTTCTTTCACAAACATCTGTTTATAGGATTTCAAAAAAAGTAGTAACAGGAATAACTAACATAATTTGAAGTGCAATAGTAATATTCAACATACAACTCTTGTTATTAACTAAAGAAATTCTATAAAAAGTCACTTCTCTAAGATCATGTTCTGAACATGAAAGAAAGAGGAGACCTATAGAAGCTGGGCTTGTTAGAGCAAGGTCCCAAAACAGAATGAAATATATAATGGGATTACCAGCAAATTCAAAAGCTAAGTTCCAAAATGAAAGAAATTCATTGCATCTCAACATTTTGGATGTACTTATGAGCTGATGATTATTAGGAATTCTAGATAAAGCAAAAACATTGAAGAAAATAAAAATGTATATTAATAAATGAGCATTTGATGACTAGTCAAACCATTTCTTCTACTTTTAATGATTATCTTTAAATTTAATGTTCTTTAAATTCTTAAAAATTAACATTACTCAGGAAATGAAAGGTTCTGAAAATTTCATCATTTATTACAACTCTGGAATATTTGTGAAATTACAAAGACTTGATACATAATCATACAGTCTACATTTTGCTGACTTTCATATTGTATATGATGAATATTACTTTAAAAAACTGCCTAAATAGACCAGTTCATAGATAGGATATGGTACAAATGTCCCTAAATTTCCATAGATCTTTTGCACATGGAGACATCCCACTTTGCACATTTTAAAATAATTACTGCCAAAGTGACTAGAGGTGCTTCATGAATACCTATTGTTTGCCCTCTTGAGAATAATACTTCCACCTGTGTATCAAAGAATGTACCATCACTTAGTGAACATATGAATAACGATTACACAACTTTCATGAGCATGAATCCATTACTCCTCTCGATGGATTTCACAATTTTGGTACAGATAACATTTATCCATCCATGCGCAGATTGTATCTATGAGCTGGCTTACTGCAGAAACAAGTCAAGTCAATTATTTATACCATATACACATCACATGTATGAATGATAATCACCTTGTAGATATCGCCTGTTGCCGTAGTAACTGTTACACACTCTGCGTCCTGGGCTATATGAGCCACTGGTTTACTCAACAAGACTCGTTCTACAAAAATAAAAAAATCACTGATTGAATAAAGTCATATCAACAAAGTCAAATATACATGTACAGTAATATTAAGTTATTTCAGTCTGTGTCTTTTGTTTACACTAAGTTGATTTTTTTTAATCATTTATTCATAAAACTCATGCCATGCAGTATAAGTTCAAAAAACAATACAGACAGATTTTGGGAAAATCAATGAACAAAATATCATAATGCTACAGTAATCTAGGATTTGTAACATAAGATCTTTGCAATTACTTGCCATAGTATTAACAATTTACAATTTATAATAAATACAATATCTAAGAAAAAGAAAAAAAATGTAATATTTGAATAAATCATCTGAGTGGAAATTCAATGGTGGAGAATGATTGTTCTGTAATAGTATACTTAATAGTGCTCTTCTTGAGTTCATACTCTGTTATTATTGGATTCTACATCATTTTCCCTGCCGGTTTGAAAGGGATGGTAAGCAACTGAGAAATAATCTGAAAATGTAAGTTGTAGCCGATAACTTATATAACATTAAAGCATATTGTTCAATACATCTAGAACTGGATCATTTACATGTGTAACTCAAAGTATTCACTCAATTCTTTCCTACCAGGTACCAGTTTTACATCTGGGTGGAGAGTGGCAAGTGTAGATTAATAATCTTGCAAAAGGACGCTAGTGCCTCATGGGTCTTGGATCCGCGACCTTTGCATCTGCAGTAATGAGTACGGTAAACCACTCAACTATAGACCTGTCTTCACCAGCTCGAGTTTGCCAAATAACCTGCTATTTTAACTATCCCGATCACAAATTATTCTTCATCAGCCCGCGGTTGAAATTAGCGGGATATTTGGTCGAGAAAATATCCTGAGAAGTCTTGGTCTTGTTTCCAAAATATCCCGCTATTTGGGAAATAGCGGGCTAATTTGCGCCCGTCCGAGCTAGTTCGTGATGAGCGTATCGGTCTGGTGAAGACGCAATGTTGAGCTTCGGATAATATCCCGAGTCTGAAAATAGTGGGTTATGTGGCAAACTCGAGCTGATGAGGACAGGCCTAATGAGAACTCTCTCATCCTTACCTTCACCGAGCCGTTCTGCCATTGTGAGACTGATTCTGTGACTGCCTCCAACAAACTTCCTTTCCTGGAAAGAAATAAACATACAAAATCTTTGTTACTATTTCTGAGTGGCTCGAATACTTTAGAGATGGTAGAGCAAATATTCAGGATTTTGCTTGTGACACTGCTAAAATGGCATAGCATCAATAGGTCAATAGGTCATCAAATCAAAACTTTTGAATGATTGTAAATTTAATTCCTGCTTGGCAATGTTTGAAATCTCCTACGTTATTTTACGGCACTAACATATGACACTATACTAAAAGAATGAAAAAGAAAACATATCTAATCAGTTTTTTCTATAGCTACAAGCCTAGTTCAGAGAGTTAAACGGATAGAGGTATATAGATTAACACACAATGTGTAAACACTTATGAAGTTACCGAAGAGTGATGCAACATTGAAAATTATTTATTTAACAATTGTTTTAATACTGATTGTGAAGAAGGAACTAACTCTCTACTTGTCTCATCAGTTTTACTTTTTATAGATATACCGGTACACATACCTGAGCACCATTCTCTGTTGCTGAAAATCTCAAATAACCTGTTGACAATTGAAATGGATAAAAGTAAATAAAAAGGGGAAGGAGCAATAGTTTGTAAATGACAAAGAAACAAATAATGCAAGCAGAAGCCCAAAGGAAGATATTCCAAAAGCATTTTCAGCAAATTTCATTCAGCATCATTCAGAATGTTCAGCCCTAAACCAACTAGATCCAAGGCAATAGACTTTCATTCAATCAAATGTAAACTAATTAGTATTGTACAATTCAGCACAAGGCAGTGATTATAGCCTCGTTAAACAAGCTAACACATCTAGGAGAATAAATCAGTTAAATTACCTAAGCAATCAAGCTTAAAGAAGAAGTCGAGTTCTGGTCATGCGATTGCATTGTGAAAGAAACGGTGCGGAATCGACCAGAAAAGGTTGATCATGCATCTAGCATATAAGAATTTGTGTGTATTGCAAGGTTCTGGAATCATCAAAATGATAAGAAATTTGGCCAAATCTTGGCAAAGTTACAAACACTGTACACAGAAAAATGTATATGGGACTACACGAACACGTGGCGTAAAAATCCTACCCGGATTTTTACGATGTTACATGACATATTTAGAATATGAAGGCATTTGAAGAGCCATGCTTTTCAGGGAACATGTTTTATCTGATGTTCTTCCACACTTGCATTATAAGAATGATAACGCTCACAAATTATTTTTCACCTCTTCCCAGAACTCAACCTTCTCTTTAAAGGTAAAGACCAGTTTTGGAAACGCCCCCCTCTCAAAAAATGAAAAAGAAGCTCTTATTAGCAATCATGTGAAAGAATATGTTTTGACTAATACGTGTGTCAGGAAAGAAATTTATTTATAATATATAATAATATAATAATAGCCTAATAGTCCACTCCAAATTTTATTAAACCGAAACGGAAATTCTTTTTGCCCAATTGATCGTGAGCCCGGCAGCCACTGAGCAGCGCCAGATCGACGTTGCTCTATCCCTTATTGTTGAACGCCAAACAAGGTAGCAACAACTCCCATCTTTTAACGTCTTTTGGTATGACGCGGCCGGGGTTCGAACCCACGACCTCCCGGTTGTGAGGCGGACGCTCTACTGACTGAGCCAACACTCCGGTACGTGTACATGTTTTATCTGTTGTTTGGCACACATTTAGGAAGCCTCTTTTCAATACAAGTATTTTCCTTTGTAAGATGATTTCCTCTCCAAATATTTGTAGTCATGTTTTTAGAATTTACTTAGTAACCGTAGGGTATATTAAGAGGTGGATTTTCTGCAATCGAGGAGAACCACCTAAGCTATAATAGACTGAACGTCATGTTAGAAGTCGGCAATTAAAGTCAATATCTGAGGGTAATTCCATGTCGGGACGAGAGGCTAGCTCAACTGCCACCCGGTTCTCCATAGCTTTCGTCGGGGGCTAGCTCTTGTCTGGGATCGGGACGCACACCATCGTATCTCAGTCTGCGGAGGTCAAGAATCCGGGGCGACTACCAGGGCCAAGTGGAGCAAAGACGCCGTCTGCGGAGGCCAGGGCCAAGTGGACAAGACAAGCTGTGACCGGCATCGATGTCAGACGGGAAACTATCCATCCAGAATTATTTTGTTAAAGATAAGTTTAATTTATACCTACTGTACTTTTACTTAAGCCAAAACAAAGTGTGTGAAACAGGAAAAATGATTGGAAATTAAACGTTACAATTTAACTTTATTTTAACAAGCTTTATTTCCCTTTATTCTGTGTGTCCGTAGCAGTAATAAAAAATATAAAAAAGTCACTCACGTGACAATTTGGAGGTCCCACCGAGACCTTGCTATTGATAAATAATTCCAAAAAGGGAATTAGATATTTCTCCCCCTCTTTTCCCCGCATACGAATTTGATGTGTAATTGATGTTTGGGGTTGAAATACAGGTTAAAAGAAATTATCAATGCTAGGTTGATAAAAGCAATAATGTCAAGAGTTTTATAGTGGATTCTCCCCAAGGTTAAGCCCTTGGTAACGCCTATAGACTAGGGTAGTACTTAGGCGGGTTGTGCATTGTTCATGGTATTTGGCTTGATTAGAGATTCCAGGTTTGAACTACTATAGGCTTTGAATGTTCATGTTGTGAAGTTGACCGGTGTTTTCGCATGGTTGAATTTTGTGTTCTCGTTAGGAGAAATTCTAGTGTGCTTGTTAGAAGGCACTAGGGGTTAATTGTCTGGTGTGAGCGGACCGGTGTTTCGCATGGTTGAATTAATTGTATGCTCATTGGGAGATACATTCTAGTGTGCTTGTCGAAAAGTCACAAAGGGGTTTGGCATTTGTTGCCGGTGTTAAAGCCTAGGTTTTTGTAGTTTTGGAATCGATGTTTAGTTGCTATGGTTAGTTCCAAGCAAATTAAAGAGTTTTCTACTTTAGGTAGGGAAATGGGGCCAAGTGGAGCAAAGACGCCGTCTGCGGAGGCCAGGGCCAAGTGGACGAGACGAGCTGTGACCGGCATCGATGTCAGACGGGAAACTACCCATCCAGAATTATTTTGTTAAAGATAAGTTTAATTACCTACTGTATTTTTACTTAAGCCAAAACAAAGTGTGTGAAACAGGAAAAATGATTGGAAATTAAACGTTACAATTTAACTTTATTTTAACAAGCTTTATTTCCCTTTATTCTGTGTGTCCGTAGCAGTAATACAAATTTTTAAAAAGTCACTCACGTGACAACGTGATGATACAAATTTTGCTGGGAAACTGCCTACTGATTGATATATATATATATATATATGCTAAAAGATCAATTTTTCTGATCGATTCCACAACGTTTCTTTCACAATGCAATCGCATGACCAGAACTGGTCTTTACCTTTTTAAATCAGTATAATCTAGTTCAATCCGGTTTACTAAGCTAATGCCCCCAAAATAGATCAGATTCAATCCAGCTTGAACTAGTCTACTTCATATCTATTTTATCCAGCTATTACATGCACCTGTATGCTATTACCTACAAGAATAAAGTAAGATTCACTCTAGCCCAATCCAGTTCAATCCAGTTCAATCCGGTTCAATCTAGATCAATCTAGTTCAATCCAGCTCACCCAAGCAAACTTACCACAGCCTCCTTTGATATACCAGAGGAAGTACAGGAGAGACATGTCCTTATCCTCAGCACAGAACCCAAGAGCACTCTGGACAGCAATGAAGTCTCTGGTCAGTTGAAACCAGAATGTCTTCTCGGCCCATTCCTTGACCGTCATACTGTCCCATTCCTCCGCTTCAGGAAAGTCCCAAGGATGATCCATTGGAATCTGAACAGATTACAAGTATAGAGTAAAAAGCTAATTAAAGATTCAATCATCTGGGATTCACTATTATCATAGATTCGACTTATATTAACGATAGTTGTTAACAGTTACATGTAGTTGTCCTTGAAGAAAATTGCCTTTGGGGAAATGTGTCCTCAGTGGTATTGTCCTTTGCTGTTCTCGTTCAAGTTTAATACTCCAGGGGGGTGTTTCACAAAGATCCTAAGTAGAACTTAACTCTAAGTTGGACTTAAAAATTATGGACAGCCATTGGAGTCTTTAAATGAAATATATTCAAAAGCAGAAATTCAAGTATTTTAGACTTTTTATTAATTCCACATCCAGAACATGAAATCTCCTTGATGATAGAAAATATGAATGATTTCAATAAACAATGAATGCCTTTCAAAATTACTTTTACAAAATATTTTCAAAGATGCTAATGGCTTTCCATATTTTTCAAGTCCAACTAATTGAGATAAGTTCAACTTAGGATCTTTGTGAAACACCCCCCAGGGGATATGTTTGATCATTCTGAACATGTTTCACTCTACGTGTATAAACCAATTCCATGTATAAAGACCTCATACCCATCACTACCAACTTGTAGATGGGTTGGTGGGACTGAGAAGGTTGTAATGTGAGAACCAATTCTTACCTTATTCCCCATCTCATCAACTAAGTGCCAGAAATGGTTGAGGTCCATGTTAACGAAGGGGTTCCATGTGTCAGGATATAGACCTGTCAACGTGCGCCATCTACCCTGTTTTTTCATTAAAAAATGACAAATACATGTCAACATACAGAGATACCGTAAAAAAAAAAAGGAAAACTTCAGTTTAAGAGCATGCTAGGGAAAGATTTCCCATACTCTGATTTCTACTCTCATCAATTGGATTAGTATCATACATGTGTTCTTTGCAGAGCCACCATTTTATTAGCTTTTCATCATGTGGACCCATGCCTTCACTGTGACTATGAGAATGTTGAATATGCGCTGAATAATGATTGCCACTCATTGTTTTAAATTTACTGAGGACTGCCTAAAGCCAATTGTGAACTGGGATTGAAGTTTTCCGACTCAAAATACTGCCTTTCTTCGATTTTCTGTGAAAAAAACTGTAATAAAACCCGTGTATTCAGTTCCCAGTAGAACTGATCAGGATTGTCACTTCATGCAGAAAAGGCAAACTGCTACTACCACACATTTGGGCAGGTTTGCTTGTGGTTTCCCAACAGCAAACATAATCATGAATATACAGTGCATGACTGTCTACCAACTCAATTCGTTAAAATAAGTGAGATATGTTAATTCATGTTTGGATTTTTATTAAGGACTATGGAAATCTACAGACTTCTAGTTTTATCTTGCTATCTGCCAATCACAGGGGTACAGATGTATTCACAACCACAATTTATAGTGAAGTAGTAAGGACCATCGTGATAAAAGGCTACCGATGTACCTATCAGGGATATCCCTTTATGACTGATATAATTGATATCGTTATGGGTATAAATGGCTCATCTCTGTGAAAACATTTTGCAGAAATCATGTTTTGTCTAGAAATACATGTATATAATGTAATTCTTTATGCTAAAAATCATTTGCTAAACTGTTTATTTAAATACGTTCTTCAAACTTGATAGCTCAAACAACGATACATGTAGTAATGCATATGATTTCCTCTTTACCCGGTTGTATGCAATGGCTGTGCCTTCATCAAAGCAACGGAAGTTGTCCACACCCAATTCTTGAGATAGTCTGTAGACGCGATCCTGAGTTGGTCCCATGTAAGCCCCGCCTATATCCGTGTAGTCTATGGCCTTGTCCTAATAATGTCAAGAAGAAAAATATAAACAGATATACATTGTATTTCATCCACATTCACCTTAGAATGACAACAAATATATTTGAATTTTAGACAATTACTGCAAACAAATATTCAAAAGTATTTCAGTACCGAGGGTGAAAAAACCTTTACTCCAGTGGCATTTGCTCGGGTTTGTATATTGCCAAAGAATAATGTTAGAAAAAGTGTTATCTTTGATATATACATGTATATATGGTTGCTTTAATACTAACAAGCATATACAGGATTTCTTTGCAGTCGGGTCAAAGTAAAACAATCCTCAAACAAACAAAAATCTCCTCAGAGCAAGTGCCTTACATGTAGCCAGACCATTTAGAAATGGCAGTGTTTAAATAGAGCAAGGGACAGATACATTGTTTTGTCCAGGGTTGAAGACAGGAATTTGGGAGAGTGTTAAAAATTGACTGTGATCATTAAATTAGGACGCCATACTGGGCTGGTGAACGTTATATGAGATTGTTTTCAATAACGCTATCTTCGGCGGCTTGAATCAATGTTAGGGAATATAATATGAAGAACCGGCCAGATTCGTAACATTTTAACTGGGATTGGAAATTTGCAGGGAGGTACGGTGGACATTGGCTGCGTTCATGCTTAAATTTTGAAGGCAGAATGAGCGATCTGAAACGCTCATCGTAAACGCTCATCGTGATCGCAGTTCCACGATGTAGTGTTCATGCTTACTTCTCTGGCTCCCCCAGGCAATTCTCAGTGTGTGGCCTTAATTGGTCTTCCAGCTGGATTCGCAAACCTTCACTGTGCATGCTACGTAGACCCACTAGAGGTCAGTGCGTTGACCCCATTTAAACGCGTTTACAAATTGTAAACGCATCTTTTTGTGAGTTTACGATCGGCGATCGTGATCGCCGTTTTTCGGTGATTCTACAAAAGTGAGCTAAGACGCAACCGTGTTTTAAACTAAACGCGTAACAGATGCCTGATTCTGGCCGTCAAAATCAAGCATGAACGCGCCCATGGTTAACACAGAGAGACCCATCGGGGTAATCCATTCATTCTTCCTCTCCACCAAAATCCAAGATTAGTGCAGAGTGCCAAGTCTGACCAATCAATCATCTGTGGTTATTGACCTTCACAGTAGGCCTGTCTTCATTAGCTCGAGTTTGCCAAAATCCTGCTATTTTAACAGTCCCATTGGCAAATTAGCCAGTTAATTTGCGCCTTCATCAGCCCGCAGTTGCAATTAGGGGAATATTTGGTCAAGAAAAATATCCTGAGAAATATTGGTCTTAATTGTTTCCAAAATATCCGGCTATTTGGGAAATAGCAGGCTAATTTGCGCACCGTCCAAGCTAGTTTGTGATGAGCGTATCGGTCTGGTGAAGACGATTTCGAGTTTAGGGATAATATCCCGAATCTGAAAATAGTGGGTTATTTGGCAAACTTGAGCTGATGAAGACAGGCCTACTGTAGTGTCATAGTCAAGAGCACTTTAATAACCACCTAATTCTTATACTGGTACTTTTTGTGCATGTCACACTCCACAGATAATAGCTTCATGGACAGGTGCACTTTATATAAAATGCAGGGCATCATAATTATGTACTCTTGATGAGAACAACCTAATAGTCAACTTACTGATATATTTCCCTTACCCAATCTTTAGTGCACACTTTTCAGGGGTGATAGTGAGCACTAAATAAAAATAGGGTTTTTTTCCCTCTACCACGCCCCCTTGAGTAAAAAAAAAAAAGAAGAAGGGAATATGCAGGTAAAAATGCCATCGAACAACATTCCCCCTTTTTTGGTAAAAAAATTGGGAAAAATAGGGAAGAATAGAAAAAATAAGGGAAAAATTGGGAAAAAATTGGAAAGAAAAAAAAATGATTAAAAAAAATAATAATAATAATCATTAAAAAAAATAGGGAAGAAAAAAACAAATCAGGGAAAAATCTGTAACAATTTTTTTTTAAATCGGGAAACTGATTTAAATCGGGTAATTATCAGGCCTGACTTTTCTATCATGTAAAGCAAACGTACATAGCCGTACATACATGTACAAGCAGGTCAGGAAGCATGCAGTTCATACTGGCAGTATCAAACTATTTGATTATTGGTAGGTTATTGTAAAAGATAAAGATATATTTCAAGTTGCATTGAATGTGTCTAATTTGTGCACATTTTTTCTCTCAATAAATCTGAAGGAAAATGTGTACAGTTGGCAGTTATCAAGAAAGAACTTCTTTTTAGTATTCCACTTGGAGATTTATCTTTGTTGGATATGGTCTTTGGGTTGATTTTATACTGTATCCTGAAAATTCAAAATTGTTCATGAAGATGAAAATGATTTTTGTTAATGGGTTGGATTAAAAATGGATGAATATAAATTTATTAGTTGTATGAATGAAGCTACATTTGTTCGTGAAATACAGGCTTGTACTACCTGAAGCTGTACACAAATCATCTTTTGAAGAGATGGATCCCCCCCCCCCCCCCCCCCACCCCCCTTCTAGTCAGTCCCCTAGATATTTGCTTGGTTCCAATCCAATCCAAAGTTCTGGATATATGGATAACGAGCTGGAAACACACAAGGAAAAGACACATTTAAGTACATTGTACTTGTACTTTGACCTGTACATTTGTCCTAATGATTATTCTCTGCAGAAATCATAGAACCATGGACATCACGAGACTGATTCAATATTTGATTTGAACAGTGACTTTTTGTTTTATATGCCCTCTCATTTACCTGTATAGTAGTTTATTCTGCTGCATTCATGTGTTATTCAAATCTTCTTGATGATTAATGAAGCCAGCAGTACTGCTTATGTATTTAATTACTTTCATGTAAGCTTTATATCGGATGGCCCTAGTGGATGTTGGTGCATTTGTGTGACAATATTTAACTCTTTTTAATAACAACAAGAAGAAGGGATAACATTATTGTCGTTGAAAGGCTGTTGGCTCAAATTTAACACAATGAGAGACAGAGAAAATCAATTTTCCGAACTGGGTCACCCACAGTGTACATTAAATGTATACATGTGCGGTCACTTCCAGGGATGTTTTTTTTAGCTGAAGAAGATCCATGTAGGAAGGAATAATATGGCCAATCAAAGATGGAAAATGTTAAAAAGTGAACAAAATGGTGAACCAGTCCATCAACAGCTTGTTAGTGGATGCTTTTACGCTGTTGTTTTTGAAAACTGGCATGATGTTTTTTCTTGCTTAAAGGGGAAATACAGGTATGCATCATATGAGTAGCATCAAATGAAAGAGGAGGATCTAAGCTTTACAAATAATTATGTATCATTTATTTATCATAATTGTGATTAAGTTATGATAAAACATTGATCAATAATTCTCCTTTTTTTTTTTTTCTGGGACGCACTGTATAAACAATTGTACATGTATGAGAGAAAGAGAGAGAGAGAGAGAGAGAGAGAGAGAGAGAAAGAGAGAGAGAGAAAACAAAACAGACAATCAGAGAACAGTGAAAATATACCACACACCCAACGAATCTCAAATGACAATCATCCATTCCTATAGCAGTTCCTGTGACAATAATATATATTCCTATTCAATTTTCAAGATGCATGTAATGACTTCTAGCTGTTTACACAAGTGTGCATCTCCCCGGGACATTGGTGTTATTACAGCCAGCATCTTTTGACATTCACCATGACCTTGAGCTGTGAATCTCACAGTAATTTCATCGATTCCAGATGAACAAGCACAGTTCACAAATCAATAAAGATTGATGGTTACAGGGTACAAGGTTGGATCACATGTAACAGCATTAAAGGTAACTATGTCCCTTTTGCAGCCAACCTCAAATGCTGTAGAACTTTGCAGGAATTATGAATATGTCATATATGTCCTATCTGTGAAATTTAAACGTTAGCAGTGTCCTCATATTCAAATTATGCAAGGAAACCTGTTTACTTGCTAGACTTCACTGTCAGACACTATTGAGTGACTGACTGGCTTTTTTTCTTCTTTGGTAATAACATACATGAAAAGAGTTGTAAAGGGTACATGAGCATTTGTCTACAATAATAACCCACTTCTTGTGATGGCCAAGATTAAACTGATTGAATCTTTGCGCAGCATAAAACGAACATGTATGACCATTCGGTACAATTGTCTGAAAATCGAGACTATTACTTTTGGGCTCTATAGCCCTAAAGTCGATTTGACAACTAATAGTCATTATTTTCCCACTTGAAGACATTTTCAAGACCCACTTTTTTTAGGGAAGTTCTAAATGATTATTATCTTTCAAATGCAGTTGGAATTTAACTTTTTCATTTTTTTGGCCTGCAAATGGGACATAGTACCTTTAAATTAAATTTGACATGCATACATAGTTGCATACTGATTTGAGAAACAAGTTGCCAGCTCATCATTTTTTTCATCTCCATGATCCCGCTTTGTATTATTTGAACAATTCACAGGTGTCGTCCAATGAGCAGACAGGGTTTTGTCTACATACAGTGTATTAATTTATCAGTTGGTTGCAAATGATTGGGGATATCCAGGATTTTGTTCTGAAGTTTTTAAAACAAGGTGGGGCCAGTGGGGCCGGTTGGGGCGAGGGACAATAAGGTGAGGGAAAAAAATTATCACATGTTTAGTTCGATCTTATAGTTCGTCACTCAAAAAAAAAAACATCTAAAGGAAAAAAAAAAGAGGAGGTTTTTGCAATTTGCAGGTTATTATTTGGTTTATGATTTGTCTGGTACCATCGATCCCTTCCTTTCCTCTTTCTTTTCTTTGCCGAGTCACTCATATTACTGTTATGTTGTGAATGTTAGCTCATATTAAAGGCGAAGAGAGTTGTAACAATTCAATGAAACAATAATTCAACTGAGGCGCATGCTGTTTATGTATTTCATGTTATCTAATAAACCCTCCTGACAATGGTGCATGAGAATTCATGTTACAGTGTCTATCATAGAAGATGAGTCTCACATCGAAAATCACATTTTATACCTCAATATTCCTCAGATTCTTAACATTGGTACTCTCCACTTACATAGAAATTGCATGTACGCCCTCCGACTCGATCATTGGCCTCCAGTACCAGTACATCTTGGCCAGATTCATGTAAGAGCTTGGCAGCTGATAGACCTTTAAAAAGATGATGTATGGTTCAGGTTACAGTGGGGGTATGGATTACAGAAACAATGTACTTTTAATATAGAGTACATGTATATATTACAGGATCTATGTACTTTAATAGCATGGCATATTCTATTTTGGGAATGTCTTGGTATTTGATCCCCTTCAGAGAGTTGATAATTAAAGTTTCAACAAATTTCTCATTTTACCTTTCACTTTGTAAATTTTTCTGGGATATCAACAGAAATCTGATAATTTCTGAAGAAACAAGACAACACTTGATTTCTTTGAGCCATTAGACTGATAAATCATTTTTGCAATAAATAAAAGATGACTTCTGCACAAGACAATTTGGGTAAGAATAAAATGAAATTAAATGAAATGGAGAAAATTTTAGTTACATTCCTCTCTTTGATACCAAATTTTTGTTTTGTTACACTGTACAATGTAGAAATTCACTGCAAAAAAATCTTTAAAAGCGTGCCTACATGTACATGTACATGATAATTAGAATAGGTTTCTAAGATTTATGTCTCGTTTTGTTCTAGCTTGTGAGAAAATAAACACCTTTGATTCAGAAATGTTACATATATCTTGCTACCAGTATGCTGTTCAAGCCTCATAATACGATATACATATCGCCTCAGGTGTTTGGACTGTTTTGAAGGTACAGAGTTTGGGTAATTTTACTAATGCCCGAACAAAATGATGTGTATTATTTGTTTTATAAAATGATGCTTTATAACATGATGTGTTAATGAATTTTCATTAGTATTTACCAATGAATTGTCATTACTAAAATGATGTGCTAGGCAAAATATATCATTTAATAGGATCCGCTTCATTATCTCATAATAATAAATAACAGCATTGATATACATGTGGCTCTTAATACAAAATGCTGTTTCTAAGTGCTTTATAGAAATTATTACCCTGGTCGTTAGAATCACTTAATAAAGAGAAGGTTGAGTTCTGGGAAGAGGTGAAAAATAATTTGTGAGCGTTATCATGTATGCAAGTGTGGAAGTGTGGAAGAACATCAGATAAGACATGTTCCCTGAAAAGCATGGCTCTTCAAATGCCTTCATACTGTATTCCAAATATGTAAATAACATCGTAAAACTCGGGGGGGGGGGGTAGGATTTTTACGCCACGTGTTTGTGTAGTCCCATATACATCTTTCTGTGTACAGTGTTTGTAACTTTACCAAGACTTGGCCAAACTTCTGATCATTTTGATCATTCCAGAACTTTGTAATACACACAAATTCTTATATGCTTGATGATCAATCTTTTCTGATCGATTCCACACCGTTTCTTTCACAATGCAATCGCATGACCAGAACTCAACTTCATCTTTAAGCACATTTGTGTACCATTAGTGGGGAGTTCTCCTACCATCTGGTTACAGTGAAGGCATATGGCAATTACTAATTGATTTAGATTGTATAATATGATAATCGTATAATTCCTTGTAACTAAATTATGAATTATATAAATAATACCTTTTGTTATGCAAATAAAAATAACATGTACAGTACACTTGTATAATGCTTTTGTATACTTTGTAAAATGGTGTTTGTAATTTATGTACATGTATTTATTGGACATAATTTGTGTTTTTCTTGTTGAAAATAGAAATAAAACTTGAACTTGAACACAAGTGCTTTCTTCATACTTCCAGGTCCACATTTCTCTCCTGGATATGAAGTGGCAAATGTAGATCAATGCCTTGCAAAAGGACATATTGTTTTTAAAGGTTATGTCATATCCCCAAAGCGACTGCTCCATATGTACGTGTACATCTATCATTATGTATATCACCTTCTACAAAAAAGGTGAAAAAAAATGATTCAAACTAATTACTTCTTGAAGGCTTTCAAAAATTTGAAAAGGGGTGAACCCATGGACTACTCAGTTCTTATATTCCTCATAGGATCAACACAGGATCCACTCAGTTCCGGTAGGCAACGGGTTTAAGATAGAAGGCAATGTCTTACCGCTGATCCCAGCTCCTACAATAATGACATCCCTGACTCTCTCAGAACCCATCTGGAGTTCTCATCAATCTCTCACCGCGAAAAAATATCAGGTGCTGCTAGCTAGAAAGGGAAGATATGAGAAGAAAAAACACAATCTCAGCCGTGTGAAATCAGCATTATACATTCTAACTCCTACCAACTGTTCAGACAGGAATATCTAGACATTTCATACATGTACATGTACATGCATAAGGTATGTACTCTGCATTTACAAATGACAGGGATGCCAGTTAGAATTGATCAGAGGGCCTGACAATCACCTAGAATGAGCTATTTTGTACACAAAACAGCCTGCACTTTGACTATATGGTAGATCAGCAGTTCGTTTGGTTTGGTTTTTGATCAATCATACTGTACAAGTATAAACATGTAGCAAACCCAAGGTTTGAATATTAATTCATTAACCTTCACATACATAAAGGTTCTGGTTGGCTCATACTGTTTGAGCCAATACAGCCCATACTTTGGGAATGAATGAGAGTCTGGGCTGGTATTGAATTCAATACTTAGCATAAGTAAGAAATTTACTAAGTTAATTGGCTAAGTCAAGTAATTGACTTATCTCGTATTCAAATCTCATTTAAGACTTACACTTATGTAAGACAAAATCTAAGTAAAATACTAGCTAATAAGCATTGTGACATTACACGGTCAATCAAAAGTAATGCGCAATCAAAGCGTTGCAATAAATGCGCGCTGATATAATTGTGTGCAGGTTATAATACTGCGTAAGAAAACCATATACCTGCCAATCAAGGCCTCCAAGTCTGGTAGGGAGCTGACTTAAATTTAGGGTAAAATTATACTTGGCCAAAAGACTGAATTGAATACAAAAATAGGCTAAGTATTTTATCTAAACCAAGTACTACATGTACATATACATGTAAGTAAAAAGCGTAAATTTTGTACTTGCATGTATTAAATTGAATACCGGCCCTGGAGTATTAGAGGAGTATAAGGGGAGTATTAGAGGAGTATAAGGGGCGTATCATGTGAGAGGAATGAAGAACAAACAAATCTAAGTAATTACACATGCATGTACACACAATGGTGCACATCCCTCATAAACATGTTCCTTCATAATTTCATACATTTTACAAGTCCCCCCCCCCCCCCCATTCATTTTGGTATTGATCAAAATGACTGGTTCAAAAGAGGTACATGTGGCAGCTTCTCATAAAAGTTATATGATTCATGAATTATACTACTATTAAGTAACAGTTAGGTCATAAATTTACAAAGCCCCATTGTCAAGCAGCTCAATATCCTTGAGATATGGTTCTACCTGTATCTCTATTATTAAGTGATGACATTCTAATTTTTAATAATTTTGGCATTTCGTGTTCTTAAATACCAATTTTGCTCAACAATCTTATTCATCAAGATATCAAGGGAATCCTCGACGAAGATTTGACAAGATATTTTCACCAAATGTGACATCAGGCAACAATGACCTCACTGAGCTCGGCAAACTTAGACGAAGATGGAACCCTTCAGAGTTTCCATGAGGAAGAGACATTTTGTGATGCTTAAAGTTGATATTCTAAGACAATCCCAAATATTGAGATAATTACATGAATAAAAAAAGCTTTTAACCCCCAGAATAACACTAAATGGTGTTCAACTGACAAAAACAAGTTTAGAATAGTGAATTTATGCGAATAAACTCTACCAAACTATCTAAGTCTGAAACCCGGAAGTGCATGTAGAGTCGGGCCTCTATCCGTGATGTCACGAATGGGACTCATGAGCTCAGTGAGAGTGAATGGCAGTGATATCCCTACGTAAATGCCATCTTGTCAGAGCTTAGATTTGTTGTTGTAAATGAGTATATTTCATGGATTTTCTGTTTTCATTTGAATGAAGAATAACAAAGCAACATTTTCCAGTCACTGATTTCTTTAAATACATGTATCCTCTCATTCACCTATTTGGTAGAGATTTAAGACGAGTTTACTGCTTGGGAAACCAGGTTAAATCATGCACGTATGAATAGGCGGATGCATTACCTTGTCATCAGATAAGGTACAGGAGCAGTTTTGTAAAATGAATAGGTAGGCCTAGAACTATGATAGTACTTATCATAGATATGTGTGACTGCCTCAAAAAAGGATACAGTACCCAGTTACACATTTTATGTTGTGAAATATCTAACTTGAACGAGATCATGCAAGTGCGCTTCCTCTATAATATTTTGACAACGTCTAGTGATCGAACAATATTCATCCGCGAGTGATGCGGCTCTTGCACAAACGTTCGTGAAGCGAGTAGAATCGGAAGGTAAGAACCAGGCCACTGCTCTAGGCGCGGCTTACTTTTGATGGAACGTACGTGCGCTACATGTAGTTATAATGTTTATCAGCAATTGCAAGAGAATGAAAGCGACGTTACCAGCTAAGAAAAACAACTAACAAAGACCTGCTCCTCAGTGACTACCGGTGTCAGAATTGGTACACGTAGATCACACAATGCACAGCATTGACGAAGATGTAGGATCTTCAGGGCCAAGGAAGGCGAAAGACATGGGAAAAAGGAAGAAGAAACCACCGGGAGATTGCTGTATGGTAATGAACTGTGCATGGGTCCACTTACCAGACAGCTACTGTTCACTCCGTGCCTGGGCCGATTTCAACACCAAAACAAAAATTACATGGTGAAAATATCGACTAATAGCACATCGTTGGCATGTATATGTCATAATTTTTAAAAGGGGAATTGATATTAATACTATGAAATATTAGGGGAAGGTAAAGAATTGTACATAGAATTATGATTTATTAGACTTTTCAACCTTTGAAATAAAATATGCAGAAAATCGTATCTCTCTGCACATGCTTTCTATGGAACATCCGGGTACGTGAATATACTCTTTCCTGGACGTGATGTCATATATAGTAGACCAGCGCCGTGACTGATTTTCTATGCAAAGAGAGGCGGATATTTTCGACATTTCAATCAAGGATTTCGAGTAGCCAGATTTTTTATGTGATATACTACTGTATGTAATTGAAAAACTTATAAATAAGATATGCTTGCCGTAGGTACCAAATTAAGGGACATTTATTTGCTTAGGATATCTGCTTTAAAGGTTATACAAAGTTTTGGGAAATTTTGAAAATTGGGTGGATAGTGATTCTTTACAATTTTGATATATTTGGATGCCCATGTGGATGTATTATAAGAACTCTAGAAAATGTAGCCCCTAAAACATTTCTGCTTTCAAGAAAAATTGAATATAAGAATTTACCGGAGCTCCCGGTAAATTTTGAAAAATTTCAAAAAGCGCATACGGCCGTACAATGGCAGCTGCGACCATGAAAATCTCAGAATATGTACCGGTAGTTGTGATATATAATTTCCAAACGGGAATAGCTAATCGGTCGATCTTAGTCAAGAAACATTGTTTTATAGCTTAATTAACATCTTGACCTTGAGAGGGAGCTATACAACATAAAGAGTTTATTATTTACAATTTCATAACTTTAAACTCGATTTCAACTGCGACAACGATCACAGCATATTGTTGGATCGCATATGCTTCCAACATGTTCATTTGAACCAAATTCATGAACACATACAATGTACCAAAACTTTGTATTACCTTTAATGAAACTTGTACATAACTAGGGCCCTGGTAACTTGATAGTGAGTCAGAAAAGTACCTTAACCCATAGACAACTGGATTCTCACATTCACATAGGCTTAATATAGGAGCCACCCAGTTCCAGGAGGCAATGGGTTATTAAATAGAGCTCTACAGACTGACACTCCCATTTCGATGACGGTTTGAACCTGGTGAACTTGACAGATAGGGTAAATACAATTTTGCTAAATAAACAAGGGGCTTACGTGCTAGGTTGCATGAATTCTCAAGATTTGACAACCTGTACAATTTGCAAAAGATCTTGCATTCATGAATCCTTCGTTTCAAAAGTACTGTACACATCTATTAAAGAAAAGAGGGCTATAAATCTAAGAGCACAGTTTTCTCTTTGGCTTGACACCCTGCTAAATATCTAACATTTTTTTGTTTGAAAAGTGCATATACAGTATATCTACATGTCATGGTTGAATGATTAAATAAGGCTCATCTAGTGAGAGGACATCTTCTTTTTGATTTGACAGCCTGTATTGTCTGCTAAAACTTTCTTTCCTTTGACAAGCGCATCTACAATGTACTTTACTTTATGCAAGACAGTTGTCCGATATAAGGCCTTACAAGTGAATATGAGAGCACATTTTCTCTTTGATTTGACAGCCTGCATTGTTTGCTACATACTGTACTTGTACCGCAGAAAACTGATATTCTATCTCTTGAAAGATAATTTAAGAAATCTGTCCTGATGATGGATGTAATTATTTTTAAGACAATATATAGAATTATGACGTAGATCTTAATCAAATGATTGGTTAAAAGCGTACACGTGACCATACATTTATTTAGCCTAACATGAAATTTGGATAACTACCGGTCATTATCCTGTGGTAATGACCGGTCATTGGCGATCATGTTTTGTGATCACAACCATTGAGATTTATCGTTTTACTTTTACTCGCGAAAATGGCTGCCGTGGAATTTAAAACGCATTAGTTATCTAAGTTAGATCTAGATCAGTCATAGATGTAGACCTAGAATTAATAATGTACAGACTTTGAGATGAGGGTGATTTATCAAATAACACGGATCCACTTCATCATAATTTTATAAAACAAATAATACACAACATTTAGTTCGGGCATTACTAAAATTACCCACACTTGGTACCTTTGAAACAGTCCAAACTTCCTCGGCTATCGCCTCGGGCGTGTTAGACTGTTCCAAAGCTACCTTGCATGTGGGTAATTTTTACTAATGCCCTCACTGCAGTGCATTATTTGTATACTTAATGAAAAACAGGGCGACCAGAGAAACCAAGGTTAATAGGAACAGTAAAGTAAAGTCAGTATAATGAGGTATCATGTACTTGAACTGGTATAAATCAAATAAGGGTCTTGGTAAAAATCGTTTTTCTTTGTCATAACATTTATCAAAACGGTGGCACATAATCACCCTAGTAATACTACTGAAGACTGCAATATTGTGTAATACAAATGTTGCATGCGCATGAGTTCATTATACAATCTATTCGCACTCAAGTTGAGGCTGTGGGTATCTATTGCACGAAGCCATTAGGCTGAATGCGATAGATACACACAGCCTCAACGAGGGCGGATAAATCGTATAATGAACGGATGAAAACATGCATCATTTGTTTTATACATGTACATGTACTACGAAACTCTTAGATTATAAGGAACTCTTAGATTATAAGGGTATTTGATGTAAAAAGATTTCATTCAAGATTGTTTTGTGACAGTATGGCTGACAAATAATTCTCAAGTTTAATACTGTAGGCTGTTAGTGCGCACACATGCATTGTAGATAAGCGCACTTTAATACCTCTAATGCATAGTGCTGCGCAAGATTAGGCCCACAAGCGCTCTAACCTCTACACACATTACTGCGCATGATGTACATGCACTAAAATTGTTGGATAGTACTGGAAACTATTGCATTCTTTTTCATGAAAAACGCACTTACACACAACTGACGATTAGCCAAGGCCTAATTTTCGAGAAGAAATGCATCGGATTTGAATCTGCTAAAAAAGTAAAATGACCGTCCAAAGTTTGGTGACATGCCACCAACATTTGCAGAGCAGACTATGGTCAGCTTCTGTCTCTAAGGAGAGGAGCAGACCCTACCCAAATAAGAGGCTAACGAACGAAAGAGACAGAAATTTTCGGTCTAATGTCAGTCATGAGTTATGCCATGCAATGTTGTGTTGACCTTGATTTATTGAACATGTTGAATTGAAAAAAGTTGAATGTTGTTGTTGGTTGATCTATGTAGTATGTGCATCAGGGGAAGTGTAATGATACTGTTATCTGCATGGATCTAGACTCTATATCTAATCGTCAAACAATGGCGCTGATAACTTTGACGACATTTACAAAAGCGAGAGTAATAGACCGATACACGTGTGGTGTTATGTAATGATGTAACTCCGGGAAGCTCCAACACCTGCACCGCAGGCATCGGCGTCGGAGCTTCCCGTAGTTATAGTAGTATGATGTACATGTAGTTAGCCCGCAGCACATTTAGTCTTAAAACGCAGGCAGGCGGTTCGGGGGAGAGACAGCAAAAATTCCCGGTCAACGACGCAGATGCAGGGTCGCTGGGTTGAAGTGTAAACAGGTGTTCACAACTAAATTTATCAAAGTTTACGATACATATCGTACGAAAAAATATCATAAGAATCTAAAGAAATGAATGGAAAACAAAATAAAACAACTCATGAGAAATGACGTTCTATTGATCTAGCTAAATTAACTTACTAAGTAAAAGCTCCAGTCCAGTCTTCGGTCCGATGCGATGGGCGTAGGTACTAGTGAGGAGGAATCAGCTGATGAGGATTCGAATGCCGATGCATGCATGCGTATTACGTACCGTACGTACGTACGTACGTACGCGTTCGTTTGCCCTGGCCTGGGAATCGTGCGACCGTGGATCCAGGGGGGGGGGGGGGGGGGGGGGGGGGGGGGGGGGGCCGAGCGTGCCTTGCCCCCCCCCCCCCCCGCAAAAAAAAAAAAAAAAAAAAAAAAAAAAAGGAGAGAGAGAGAGAAGGAAAAGAGGGAAAGAGGAGAGAAAGGGGAAAAAAAAGAGGAAGAAGAAAAGAAAAGAGGGAAGAAGGAGATCGGGGGGGAAGGACTTGCCTCCCCCTTCCCCCCCCCCCCCCCCCCCAATAAAAAAAAAAAAAAGAGAAGGAAGGAAAGGGAAAGAAAAAAAGATAAAGAGGAGATAAAGGGAAGGACAAAATAGGAAGAAGAAAAGAAAAGAAGGGGGATATCAGTTGCAATTTTCCGCCAAAAAGTTGTGGATCGAGGGGGGGGGGCAAAGACCCTAGCCTCCCCCCCCCCCCCCCCCCCCCCCCCCCCCGTCCCCGCTAAAAAAGAGAAGGAAGGAAAAGGAAAAGAGGAGAGCTAAAAGGGAACAAAAGAGGAAGAAAAAAAGAAAAGGGAGAAAAGAAGCGAAGATCAGTTGCGGTTAATCCCGCCAACAATGTGTGGAGCGGGTTGGGGGACCAAAATGACCGTGCCCCTCCCCCCCCCCCCCCCCCCCCCCCAGCAAACTTAAAAGAGAGATAAGGAAAGGAAGGGAAAGTAAAAGAGGAGAGAAAGGGGAAAAAAAGAGGAAGAAGAAAAGAAAAGAGGGAAGAAGGAGATCGGGGGGGGGAAGGACTTGCCTCCCCTTCCCCCTCCCCCCCCCCCCCCCCCAATAAAAAAAAAAAAGAGAAGGAAGGAAAGGGAAAGAAAAAAAGATAAAGAGGAGATAAAGGGAAGGACAAAATAGGAAGAAGAAAAGAAAAGAAGGGGATATCAGTTGCAATTTCCCGCCAACAAGTTGTGGATCGAGGGGGGGGGGGCAAAGACCCTAGCCTGCCCCCCCCCCCCCCCCCCCCCCCCCCCCCCCCGTCCCGCTAAAAAAGAGAAAAGGAAGGAAAAGGAAAAAAGGAGAGCTAAAAGGGAACAAAAAGAGGAAGAAAAAAAGAAAAGGGAGAAAAGAAGCGAAGATCAGTTGCGGTTAATCCCGCCAACAATGTGTGGAGCGGGTTGGGGACCAAAATGACCGTGCCCTCCCCCCCCCCCCCCCCCCCCCCCAGCAAACTTAAAAGAGAGATAAGGAAGGGAAGGGAAAGTGAAAGAGGAGAGAAAGGGAAAGGAAAAAGAAAATGAAGAAAGGTAAGGGATATCAGTTGCAATTTTCCCGCCTACAAGGTGTAGATCGGAGGGGGGGGGGGGAGGGGGGGCCACTGGCATATACTGATAGGGGGAGGGGGTTGGAGAAATAGAATTCAAACGTGGTTTATTTATAATTCCATAACGGTGGTTAACAAATAATGCTGAAATGAGATAATTTTCCTCACTTCATGCGTTTGTTGGAATATGACAAATTCCTAAATTTACAGCCAGGCAAGAAAATGCTTCTTGAGATGACTACATATCAGGGCCCGCGGAAGGGCGGGGATCGGGATCCTCGAGCCCCTCCCCCACACTTTCTTTGAAAAAGTATATTAAGAGAAATAGAAAGAAGAGAGCGAGAAATAAAAAATAGTTAACTGCCAGTGTCACATTATAATCTGACCATGATTAAAATTAGTGCCTAAAATCCAGGGCTCTGCCCCCTGGATCCACCTAGGGCCCTAAGGCGGGCCCTTAGATGCTCATATGACGGTCATTTAATGCTAAAACCTCTGATTTCTGGGGGCTCTGCCCCTGGACCCACGCCAAATAGTGTCCTGCTAGTGTCACAAATAATAAGGTATCAAAAATGCTCATCTGACCGTAATTAAACGCCTAAAACCCTGAGCTTCTGGGGGCTCTGCCCCCTGGACCAAACCAAGAGCCCTTAGGCGGGCCCCTCGATATCTCATCTGACCGTAATTGAGTGCCTAAAACCCTTGAGATTCCGGGGCTCCGCCCCCTGAAACCCCAAGCCAATTAGTGACCTACCATTGTAACAATTAGGTATCAAAATAATGCTCATCTGACCGTAATTAAATGCCTAAACTACTGAACTTCCGGGGCTCTGCCCCTGGACCCCGTATAGGGCGCTAAGGCGGACCCCTGAATGCTAATCTGACCGTAAATTAAAACCTTAAACCCCTGAGCTTCGGGGCGGACAAGGTATCAACATATGTTCATCTGACAGCAGGCGCGTAGCCAGGGGGGCGGTGGGGGTGGTCCCCAATAAACGCCGGCAAAAAGAGAGGATTGTTAAGGAAGAGCACGTAGGAAGAAAAGGGAATAGACAAAGAACATATTTGAAATTCAGACAAGGATTAAGAGTCGAGAACGGACAACGAATCGTCTTCTTTCTCTAATGAATTAATGAAACGTCAAAGCTTCCGCGCTACGCGCGGGGGAGGGCAGGGGAATTAATTCAGACGAGGATAATTTTCGGGAACGGTACAACGAATCGTCTTCTTTCTATAATAATTTAATGAAACGTCGAAGCTTCCGCGCTTCGCATGGAAGGGGGGGGGGGAATTGATTTAGACAAGGATTAAGAGTCGAGAACGGTACGACGAATCTTCCTCTTTCTCTAATGATTTAATGAAAAGTAAAAGCTTCCGCGCTTCGCGCGGGTGGGGGAAACTAAATTATTTTCGAGAGCGGAACAACGAATCGTCTTCATCTCTAAAAATTTAATGAAACGTCGAGGCGGGGGGGGAAAACTGAATTTAGACAAGGATTAAGTGTCGAGAACGGTACAACGAATCGTTCTTTCTTTAATGATTTAATGAAACGTCGAAGCTTCCGCGCTTCGCGTGGGAGGGGGGGGGGAATTGATTTAGACAAGGATTAAGAGTCGAGAACGGTACGACGAATCTTCCTCTTTCTCTAATGATTTAATGAAAAGTAAAAGCTTCCGCGCTTCGCGCGAGTGGGGAAACTAAATTATTTTCGAGAGCGGAACAACGAATCTTCTTCATTCTCTAAAAATTTAATGAAACGTCGAAGCGGGGGGGAAACTGAATTTAGACAAGGATTAAGTGTCGAGAACGGTACAACAAATCGTCTTCTTTCTTTAATGATTTAATGAAACGTAAAAGCTTCCGCGTTTCGCGGGGAGGGGGGGGGGGGGGGAAACTGAATTTAGACAAGGATAAAAGTCATAACGGTACAACGAATCGTCTTATTTCGCTAATGATTAATGAAATGTAAAAGCTGTATTCAGACGAGGATTATTTTCGAGAACGGGAGGGAAAAAAAAAAAAAATATTTCAGACGAGTAGGCACGTACGGAAGGGGAGGGGGGAGGGGGTTAGGGGGTTGACCCTCCCCCTTTGGTTTTTTGTGTGTAGTGTGTGTGTATTTTGGAGCAACCCCCCCCCCCCCCTTTCTGTGATTTTTTTTATTTTTTATTTTTTTATTTTATTTATTTTTTTAAATATGCCAATGGCTGACCTAAAAAAGGTGACCTCACCCCCCCCCCCCCCATCGGAAAAAAATGTCAAATTTTCAATTTCGAGACCAAAAAAAAAAAGTGTCCTTTCCCCCACCCCCCCCCCCAACCCCCCCCCCCCCCCCCCCCCCCCCCCCCCCCCCCCCCCCCCCCCCCCCCCCCCCACCCCCCCCCCCCCCCCCCCCCCCCCCCCCCCCCCCCCCCCCCCCCCCCCCCCACCACCCACCCACCGCTTATTTAGCGGCTGGCTGAGTCGTTATGATTTTTTTTCGGACCAAAAAAAAAAAGTGGGCCCCCCTAAGAAATCCTGGATCCGCGCCTGCGACCGTGTCACTACTTATCCCCCCCCCCCCTCCCTCCCTCCCTCACCCTCTCTTTCTCGTTCTCTCCCTTGCCTTTTCCTTTACTCTCCCACTTTCGACTCCTCCCTTGTCTGCTTGAATTTATCTTTCACCTTCTTCAGTAAGATACCAATATTCAAGTTCACATAATACGTGTTCAAAGTCTGTTTTTTGAAAGGTTTAGTGCGATACTTTTATCCATTACTCACAATGTCCGTATTTTTTTATGCGCATTCCCATTTCCTAAAAAGTATAACTTCATTTATTTTATTTTAAGTGTATGAATGAATTTTAATGTAGCAATATAACCTGTAATTTTGCATACGCAATAATTATTCTAAAATGAAATGAAAGGGCTATTTGACTTCCAAGAGAGAAAATTGTCTTGAAGAGAGAAAGAGAGGTTATTTCTAAACTGAAATGAAAGGCTCTTGAAAGTCAAATAGCCCTTTTATTTTATTTTAGAAATAACCTCTCTCTCTCTCTAAGCGACTTCATGAGATGGAATGTTCAATAGGAGGGCATTTTGTGGTCTTTGAAAAGAGCACACAATGGGAGCAATGCAATTTAAATTTCAAGGGATGGATTGTCACAAGTATAGCCCTTTCATCACATTTTAGAAATAAACTCTAAGGGTGGACTTCCCCTAAATAATCTTGAAAGGCATAAGTGGTTTTAAAAGCATGCAAATGAACTCTTTGGCACTTGATAGTTTGATCCACATGCAATCAATAAATTAACTATAAAATAAAATACAAATCTAACTTGATATATGAATTTATTTGTATTATACCCACAAAGTATACAAACATTGTAAAAAACAGACTTAATATTCTAAATAATTTTCAAATGCATTCCAATGTACTTTGAGCTTTAAATTTTTTTTTTTAGCTGTTACGAATACTAAGTCACGCCAGATTTAATTATGACGAACATAAATAATTACAATTGAATCTTTAGAAAACCCGAATTAAACACCTACAACAACAACAAAACACAAGAAAAAAGAGAAACATTCATTGAACAAACTAATACATATATGTAAGTAATTAAAGTATTTAAGATTTTGTAATAATTATAATTCATGATTTCAACACTTCAACTAAAAAAAAAAGATTGTGCGGTTGGTTAAATTGTGCATTTGTCTTTTCTCAAATACTTTAATCGGCAAATATACCTTTGACGGTTCCAATAAAAAAAAAAAAAAAAAAAAATTATACGCTGTAATAAAAAAAAAATGCTTTGATTTTGAGAATCGGCTGGAATTCAAACCTTTGTATTTTCTCATTCAGCAGTTTAAGTGGCATTTGAAAAAAATCCCGTTAAATGGCATCTGCCATGATTTACGGCAGTTGGATATGTTCAAAGCTGTACATTGTACACTCAGTACACACGTGGTGACAGTTAGCAATGACTTTATCCAATAAGTTCATTAGGCATGTGCTAGAAAAACTGATACCCATTCCACTTAACCAGTTTTTAAAGATAATTTCGATCAGATATCTTGAAATCCGCAGGATCGATTAACTCTTTGCAAAATCTCAGAACAGCATTGGCTATACAGCCCCATCATGAAAACTAAAGGCGGTTTCATATTTTACCCCAAGGAATCGGCAAGCTCTTTAAAAATACTATTTAAACATGAAATCTGGGGTCTCTTAATTATAAGTTGGAAGAAAAATCATCAATATTGCAATTCTTTTTTGATCATTTTAAAGATTAATGGTACGCCACCTGGTTTTGTTCACCAAAGACTTGCCTGCAAATAATTATGATGAAGAATCACCACGTAGATGTAATACGGCAATGTAAATCCACTTATATCATGGTTTCTTATAACCCTTATCTTTCTTCCATGAATTATGTAATGATATCAAAATGCAATATTATCATATCATAATATAAATAAATTGTATAATATTACCTTTAAAAGACCACCACGTTGACAAATCTATACAAAAATTACATGCTTTTATTAGAGGGTGTCCTTCAGTAAGTTATTCAAAGAGATTCGATCATACACAGGACTAGAGGGCCAACTAAAATCGTGACCTTTGACATTTCATAGGTTTTGCATTGGATGCATTATGGGGGTTTTGTCCGATTTGAACGACGGTTTTGGAGGGCAATGAATATTCATGAACAATGACGTAAAAAAATACGCCAACTACTGTTTGTTGATTGGCCATCGACAAAATGTTTTATGTATTAGGTAATGCATAAAACATTTTTTGCATTCCCAGAATTCCCTACGATTTGAGCAAGAAAATGACGAAAAATGGCGGTTGTATGAACTGCGACTTTGAAGTTTTTCAATACACCAGTTTACAGTTGTGTGCGCCATTTTAAACAAAGCCAATGACCTAGAGGTCATGTATTTATGCGTAAATTAGGATTGCGCCCATGCAAATTTTGATGATATCACTGCCCTACGCGCTGCGTTGTGCGCGCACATCATCATTTGCATGGGCGCAATCTTAATTTACGCATAAATACCACTGGTCAAAAGTTATTGGCCCCGCTTCCGGGGCCACTGACCCCGCTTCCGGGGCCAGTGACCCGAGATCAACTGTCTGCGCATGCGCACTGATACAACTGTAAACTGGTTGTAATACGAACAATCATCATCATCAGGGGGGTTCAACTCCGCTTCTGCATCCGTCTAGCCATGGGGAAATTTTGGAGGGTCAAAAGTGCACACTGCTTCCACTTTTCATGTATTAGCCTATGAAGACGACAAATGTTTAGTGCACCAGCGAAATGGGGATTTTGGACTGCGCGTAGCGCGCAAAATATTTAAATTAAAATTTGGAATATTCATGAGCTCTTTTCCACTTATTAGCATATTATCGCAATGAAAAAAAGACAATGCGCATGCGTTACTATATTGACATAATCCTTAATTGGGCCGGATAAATGTAGAACAAAGGTCATGCAGAGTTGGGGAGGTGTGTGTGTTGGGGGGGGGGGGGGGGGGGGGGGGGTAATAAACTTTTAAATGGTTGACTTAGTTGGGGCCACAAACTTCACTGTAACCAGGATGGAAAGTACATTTTTTTTTAAATTCAGTTCAGTTAAAAGGCAAAAATAATGACCCCATTTCACTGTGGTAACTCAATTCATTTTTTACCTCTTTTTTTTTTGTTCGTTTATTAACTTAAATATTTTTTAAATCAGAAAAACTGCACTGATCATTTAGCCGACTTAACAAGTGATATATTCATATTTTTAGTGTCCAAATAATGAATCATTCTCACCTCGACTTCAATGTTCTTCATATTGTGCCCCATCCCCAATGAAATTTAAATTTTTGCATTCGTCGCCACTGATTTTCTTGAAATTTGCCCCCCCCCCCCCAACAGTAACATTTTCAATACAGGGACCCCTTCCAATATTGACATTTCCATAGGCTCTATTAACCTCCCTCCCCCATCCACACCCCAATTACCTATGCTTTCATCATTTTGGCATTGACTTATTCTTTATTTAACCCCCCCCCCCCCTCATCTTTATTGTAAACCATTTTTTATACTGTATTTATACATTAGTCTTGCCCACTCTCTTGTTACTTTTCCGCTTTCTCTCTCATTAGGAAAGATGGTTAAATCTATCTCGCTGATGCCAGATATAAACAAACATCAAAAGGTCAAACACCATACTCAATTCTACACAAGACTGCATCAGACCCCATCTCACCTCAGTCATAGAGCATTATCATTACAGAGTGCCTACATCATCATAATCACCAGCATCATCACATATATTTCACAAAATAAGAAAATGAAATGAACAGAATTAAGCAGTATTAACTAATTTATTAACATCTATGAACTCATTTATCAACATATTTTGTTTCTATAAAGATCTTTTTAAATCCAACATGACATCAACAAAAGGATGACAAAAGGATGGGGGAGGGGGGGGGGGGTGCTGTCTCTTGAATTTAAATTTTTCAGTTGTAAAAGTTTACTGTAGATTTTGAGGAAAAAAAAATCAATAATATCAACATGCTATTTTATTATGTAAAGCATATACTGAGTTTTATGAGTACTTTATCTTACATTGGACATTATTGTTGTTTTTACTACTACCTGTATTATCATTATTATTACTGCTATTATCATGATCATTGTCATTATTGTTACTATTTGTAATATTGTTATTATTATTAATGTTATTAATTATATTACTACAGTATTACTATCGAACTACATCATTTTATCCCCCCCTTCAATTTACTATCCAGTTCAGCATCCCTAATATATTTGTCAGAACTTGACTTAAGATTAAATATAAAAAAAAACTATGTTTCATGTACATGCATTTAAAAGAACAAATGATTACTTTCATGATCCTCGATATATCTTCTTCTTCTTCTTCTGGTAATCTTCAAAAGGCGTTGTAGCCTATCACGAAGATGAATTAATACTAAAGATTACAAGTGGTGTGAGGAAGATAGATTGTTTCTAAGTGGGATAAGGAGAGTAGATGCCTCAGAAGTAGTCCCTGGCAGTTCTCTGGACTGTCAGCATGCATTATATTTGCTAGAAGTAAGTTCCATTAACTTTGGGACAGAGTGTTGGGCAAATACAAACTTGTCTATGTCGCTTCTGGCTTGGTGCAACTGGAGGGTCATGTCTTGGTACTTCCTGCTCGTGATTTGTTAAAGCCCGTCTGTACTAGTTTGGTCTGGGGGACTAGACCACCCTGCAAGGTCACTTACAGGTGGTTATCTCATCAAATCAGCTCTCAATTAATATAAGAAAAAGAGGATCATGGGGGACCAACAGGCACCGATTAGGCATTGTTTGCTATATAGAGGGCGCAAGTAGCTATAAGTAGTGCAGTGGGAAAATTTTCAAGGGAGAGCGGAGAGACCATCGACTATCTTGTGCACCATTCCCAGTCTTCTTGCAGAGTGCCTTGTAGTTGTAGATATAGTAGGCAACTAAAGGTGCTGATCATCTCAGTCAAACTGCTGGTTCACTTGTGGTCCCCATTGTGAAGTAGCGTCCTGGACATCTGAGATGTTGTAGGGATCCCAGACACAGGAACAGTTCTCAAGATGAGGGTGGACTAGGGACTTGTACAAAAGAAGCCTGGGTATCAAACCTTCTGCAAGGGACAACCTGCATAATAAAAACAAAAAGAGAGGAGAAATCAAATAAGATTAAAACTGCTGCATTACATTGGATTTTCAAAAATAGATCTAGTACCTTCCCACTTTGTTTAGGTCTTGCATTTTAATTTTATTAAAAAATGATAAACTTATGTCTATCTGATAGGGCCTTTTTTGAAAAGAAGAGTAAAGGTTTAGATGTATTTCCAATTATTTTAAAAGTAATTTCCAATTAATTTTAAGTTATTATTTGCTAGACTTTGTGAACAAAAGTTTGTTAGATATAATGTAATATTTAGGAAAAAATGCCTTTGAGTACGTCTTTTAATATGATGAGAGAATAAAATGTAGCAACACCATAGTTTTGGCACCTAAATAAAAAGCTAGAGAATAAATGAGAATTACAAGATATAATGCAACACAAGATGACAGTTCCCCAAATCTTTGTATATAGTCCAAGTCGAGTGTGGTGTTCGCATGGGCTTAGATTATACAGCCTGAATATTTTCGAACTTCATACAAACATACCTTGCCAGAGTTCAACTTAGGTGTCCTTGTTCTTGATTAGATCTACACCATAACATTTGATGATCAGGTCCTGGTGCTCTTTGTTGCACTTCTGTGATCATTATCTGCTTCTGTTCCATAGGATCTACAATTTAAAGAAAACATAAACTTAGTAAGGTTCCTGCTAATATCAAATGCATGCATTAGTTATCAGTTTATAACTTTGTTCATGTCTTTTAATAAAGAAAGAAATATCCATATCATATGTAGGGTTGGATCCAGAATTCTCACCAACATAAAACTAAAAGGGGTGGCATAAAATCCTGAAAATAAACTAATTATTTCAAACAAGGCACAATGACACGAGTAAGAGCAAAATCAGGGAAAGAGGGGGGGGGGGGGGGGGGGGAGGAGGAGACACCTTTTTTCTTTTGTTTTTGTTGTTGATGGTAGATCTAGCCTAGTAGTAGATCTAGATCTACATTCAAACTAAGCTGAATCTGGACCTGGATCACAATAATGACACATGTGCATGACTAGTCTAGTCTAGTGGAGCAAAAACGAGACTAGACCCATGGCTATGGAATTCTTTGCTATGGCATAACACAAGCTATACTTATAGATCTAGATCTAATTGCCTATTTTTAGTATTATTAGTAGGTGGCTCTAGACCTAGATCTAGACCCGTCCCTAGACCTAGAATCTATGCCACATCTGAAAAGGGGGGCACAGAATGATTGTGCACCCCCCCCCCCCTCTCCATAACTTCCACATCATTTATTTAATCCACCTAGATCTATCATCTAGATCTACACTAGGCATTTATTTAGTCTTTCTTTATTAGAATGCATTAGGCCTAGAATCTAGTCCTAGTTCTAGGCCTATACTAGATACGGGGTTAAATGCTATTTATATTTAAGTGCTAGATCTAGAGGTCTAGACTAGACCTAGATCTAGGCCTAGCCCTAGGCTCTGCTTAGGCTTTGCTTAGCCCGAATTTTTCTGTCTCTTTCGTTCGTTAGCCTCTGATTTGGGTAGGGTTGGCTGAAGAGAGGAGCCGACCCTACCCAAATCAAGGGCTAACGAACAAAAGAGACAGAAAATTCAGGCCAGACTATGCTATGAATACTAGCTTAGCCCTAGGCTTTACAGTAACACACTGTAAGTTATAGCCGCGCCAGCTCAGGAAACGCAGTCGCTTCTTGGTGGAGTGTTACAGCCGGCTAGAACCGGCGGATTGAAGATCATAAACCGCTCGACGAGATCTCATCGGCTTGGACTAGCAATGAGCCATTTGCGCAGTCTCCAACAGGTCCACATCTACGACAGATTACTATCGGAAATCAAGCTATGAACTGAACTTAAAATTATGAGATGTGCTCTAATGAAATAACCTACGGTAAAATCCTGATTGTTTCTGAAATTACTACCGTCGATGACTTAAATTAGAGTTCATTCAATCAGTTAATATTCTTTGGTCAGAAGAAAGAAAAGAGGATGGGGTAGGGGATTAACCGGGTAATACGTTGTGACAATGCGGAGAGCCGCTCACTGCAATGACGAACACATCACAATCATTTCAGAGACCTTTACACAAAATGGATCTTTACTTACTTTTCTTGATATCATAGGGTATCACTTCGATGCCAATGTTTGCCTGAAGATTTTCTGCTTCACTGAGATGTACTTGACAAACTTCTATTATAATAGAAATTCACTTAAAAGAAAAATGTTTCATTGTTCGTAATTGAATAACTTGAAAGTTGCAGTTCATACAACCGCCATTTTCGTGCTCAAATCGTAGGGAATTCTGGGAATGCAAAAAATGTTTTATGCATGACCTAATACATAAAACATTTTGTCGATGGCCAATCAACAAACAGTAGTTGGCGTATTTTTTACGTCATTACTCATGAATATTCATTGACCCTCCAAAACCGTCGTTCAAATCGGACAAAACCCCCATAATGCATCCAATGCAAAACCTATGAAATGTCAAAGGTCACGATTTTAGTTGGCCCTCTAGTCCTCCTACGGAGGACATACTGTGTATGATCGAATCTCTTTGATCATCATCATCATCATCATCATCATACGAGGAGAGGTAGATCCTGTAATCCTCGGTCACTTCTTCAGGGTTGGTTATGTTCTAGAGGTTAACTCATTGCACATGCGCAGGTTTAGGACGGTTTTGATCATATCAAATTAACTTAGACTAGACTAGTTCAAATCGCTCAGGACACCAGTGCTTATCCAGTCAATGAAACATTTTTCTTGTAAGTGAATTTATATTACAATAGAAGTTTGTCAAATACATCTCAGTTGAGCAGAAAATCTTCAGGCGAACATCGACATCAAAGTGATACCATACGGATACCAAAAAAGTAAGTAAAGATCAATTTTGTGTGAAGATATCTGAAATGATTGTGATGTGTTCGTCATTGCAGTGCAGTGAGGGGCTCTCCGCATTGTCACAACGTATTACCGGTTAATCCCCTACCCCATCCTTTTTTCTTTGTTCTGACCAAAGAATATTAACTGATTGAATGAACTCTAATTTAAGTCGTAGACGGTAATATTTTGAGAAACAATCAGGAGTTTACCGTAGGTTATTTCATTACAGCACATCTCATAATTTTAAGTTCAGTTCATAGCTTGATTACCGATAGTAATCGGTAGTAGATGTAGACTTGTAGACTGCATGCGCAAATGGCTCATTGCTAGTCCAAGCCGATGAGATTTCTCGGAGCGGTTTATGATTTTCAATTCGCCGGTGCTAGCCGGCTGTAACACTCCACCAATAAGCGACTGCGTTTCCTGAGCTGGCGCGGCTATATTATTATTAGGGCAGGTCCAAGCTATTTGGATTGTGACGTACGGGACATTTAGAGACTTTAAACAAGAAATAACAACAGATGAAATTATTTATATGCCTATCTTTTGTTATGAGTCTGTGGCTATTATGGGCTAGTTCATTTGTGGAAAGTTTTAGTTCTGACCAATTTTTTAATTAATTTTAAATGTAGGCCTAGATCTAGACCTTAATGTGCTGCGTGACGTACGGGACCAGAGCGTCCCGTACGTCACGCAGCACACTAATTACATTTAAAATTAATTAAAAAATTGGTCAGAACTAAAACTTTCCACAAATGAACTAGCCCGTCATACCAAAAGATAGCCATATAAATAATTTCATCTGTTGTTATTTCTTGTTTAAAGTCTCTAAATGTCCCGTACGTCACAATCCAAATAGCTTGGACCTGCCCATTAACAGGCTACACTTTACTGTAAAGCCTAGGCTAGTATTCATAGCATAGTCTAGCCTGAATTTTCTGTCTCTTTCGTTCGTTAGCCTCTGATTTGGGTAGAGTCGGCTCCTCTCTTTAGCCAACCCTACCCAAATCAGAGGCTAACGAACGAAAGAGACAGAAAATTCGGGCTAAGGGCAAGGCATAGGCCCTGGCCTAGGCTAGGGTCTAGTCTAGATCTAGTCTGTAGTCATGCTATTGCTAGTGTGGCATTATGTATCCAGGTCCAGCTTAGTTCGGATGTAGGCTAGATAGACTATATCAACAACAACAAAACAAAACAAAAAGGGTGTTCCTTCCTAGCTTCCTAATTTTACCCCCACCCCTCTTTTTCTTGATTGTGCTCTAACTTCTAAGTTATGGCACTGTGCCTTGTTTGAAATATTTAGAGGAAAATTACATGTTTAGAGAGAAAATAGGTTATATTATTTACGTATTAGTAATGTCCGAATATTTACCTTGTTTACAGTAAAGTTTCAGGACTATTTGCTACCCCCTTTTTATTTGGTATGGCATGGGTATTTCCAACTCTAGTCTAAAAGACATGAACCAAGTTATAAACTGATAACTAATGCAAGCATTTGATACTATTACTTGCACGAACCTTACTAAGTTTCTGTTTTCTTTTAATTGTAGATCCTATGCAACCAAAGCAGATAATGACCACAGATGTGCAACAGAGACTACCAGTACCTGATCATCATATGTCATGGTGTAGATCTCAGGAACAGGACACCTACATGTAAGTTGAACTCTGGCAAGGTATGTTTGTATAAAGTTCGAAAATATTCAGGCTGTATAATCTAAGGCTAAGCCCATGCCAACATCGCACTCATCTTGGACTAATCACCAATTACCATCTTAATTATAATGTTGCATTATATCTTGTAATTCTCATTTATTCTCTAGCTTTATTTAGGTGACAAACTACGGTGTTGCTTAATAAACAAATCACTTTATTCCCTCAGCATGATATTACAATACGTACTCAAAGGTTTTTTTTTTCTTCTTCAATATTACATACCGTATCTATCAAAAATTTTCTCACAAAATCAGACAACTGAACAGTAGATACTCCTATGTTTATAAACAACTTAAAATTATTCAATAGACTTCTACCTCTACATGTACTGCCTGTTGTATGTACATGTAGCAAATGTTTCACAAATAATAATAATAATATAAGAAAAACAATTTTAAAGTTCCTTGTTCAATAATTGGAAATGAATATAAACCTTTACTCTATTCTTCAAAAAAGGCCCTATCAGATAGACATAAATCTATCATTTGTTATAAAACCAAAATGTAAGACCTAAAAGTGGGAAGGTACTATTAAAAAAAAAAATCTAATGTAGTGCAGCTAGTTTTAATCTCATTTGCTTTCTCTCTTTTTGTTTGTATTATGCAGGTTGTCCAATGCAGAAGGTTTGATACCCAGGCTTCTTTCTATCCACTCTCATCTTGAGAACTCTTGAGATCTCTACATCAGCACGCTACATCACAATGGGAAATACAAGAGAGCCAGCAGTGTGACTGAGATGATAGTGGCATACCTTATCTACAAGGCACTCTGCATGTAGACTGGGAATTGTGCACAAGGTAGTCAGTGGTCTCTCTGCCTTTCCCTTGAAAGCCCTATTTTCCTTCACATATCACAAACATGGGAGAACCAAGCTAGAAGCGACATAGATCCGTTTGTATTTGCCCAACGCTCCGTCCCAAAGTTTAATAATGGAACTGGCTTCCAGCAAATGTATGCCGATCGACAGTCCTGCCAGGTCGAACTGCAAGGGACTACTCCTGAGGCATCTAATGCCCTCATCCCATTAAAAAAATATCATCTGTCTTCCTCACACCCCTTCACTAGTTCATCTAACAATATAATAATAATAATAATAGCCTAATAGTCCACTCCAAATTTTATTAAACCGAAACGGAAATTCTTTTTGCCCAATTGATCGTGAGCCCGGCAGCCACTGAGCAGCGCCAGATCGACGTTGGTCTATCCCTTATTGTTGAACGCCAAACAAGGTAGCAACAACTCCCATTTTTTTAACGTCTTTTGGTATGACGCGGCCGGGGTTCGAACCCACGACCTCCCGGTTGTGTGGCGGACGCTCTACTGACTGAGCCAACACTCCGGTATCCAACACTTCTTGATTAGCTGTATAGCCCTTTGAATATTACCAGAAGAAGAAGAAGAAGAGGTATATCGAGGATCATAAAAGTATTTGTTCTTTTAATGTGTGTACATGTAAGATACAGGTAGCTTTTTGATATTTAATCTGAATTCAAATTCTGACCAATTTATTAGGGATGCTGAACTGGATACTAAATTCAAGGTGGGGGAAATGAAATGATGTAGGAATAGTACAATAGTAGTACTGTAATAGTATTAGTGATTATTAGAGGATAACAATAATGATAGTAATAATGATGACAATGAACAAAAATGTCCAATGTAAAAGAAAAAGTACTCGTAGCAACCGCCCAAGGGAAACACAAAAAGTGGTCTATGTAGACGGGCTCCTTTAGTACATGTTTCAATGAGAAACCATTTTCAAGGAAAACAAAACAAATGTGGTCTTTGTAGACAGGTGGTCACTAAAGCAGGTTTGACTATATATACCCATGCTTTACATGTTGATAATTGAATAAATCATATGGATTTTATTTTAATATATCTAATTTTCTAAATCTATAGTAGAATTATACATCTGAACAATTTTAAGTTCAAGAGACGACAGCCACCCCTCCCCCGTTCATTTGTTACCTTTCTTTAGTTCAGGTTGTATTTTAAAAGATCATTATAGAAAAATTTATGTTCACAAATGTTAATAAAATTAGTTAATACTGCTTAATTCTATTCTTTTCATTTTCTTATTTTTTAGAAGTTATGTGATGATGCTGGTGATTATAATCATCTTTTCTAATGAGAGAGAAGGGGGAATGTAATAAGAGAGTGGGCAAGGTTAAAGTATAAATGCAGTATAAAAAAATGGTTTACAATAGAGAAGGGGGGAGGGTGCGGGGGAAGTTAAATGAATAATAACTCAGTGCCAAAATGACACCATGTATGATCATGGTGGTGGTGATGGGGGGGGGGGGGGGGAGGGGTGTATGGAGGAGAGAGGGTAGTAGGTCCTATGGAAACGTCAGTATTTTGTGAAATATATGTGATGATGCTGGTGATTATGATGATATAGGCACTGTAATGATAATGCTGTATGACTGAGGTGAGTTGGGGGCTGATGCAGTCTTGTTTAGAATTGAGTATGGTGTTTGACCTTTTGATTTTTTTGTATAGATCTGGCATCAGTGAGATAGATTTAACCATCTTTCCTAATGAGAGAAAAAGCGGAAATGTAACGATAGTGGGCAAGACTTAAGTATAAATGCAATGTAAAAAATGGTTTAGAATAGAGATGGGGGGGGGGGGGGGGGGGGGTAAATAAAAAATAAGTCAATGCCAAAATGACAGCATAGGTAATTGTGGTGGGGAGGGAGGAGGGAGGGTAATAGAGCCTAGTGAAATGTCAATATTGGATGGGGTCCTGTATTGAAAATGTTACTGTCGGGGGGGGGGGGGCAAATTATTTAAAAAAATCAGTGGCGACGAATGCAAGAACGAAAAGAACGAGGCAAAATTGAAATTTCATTGGGGATGGGGCACAATATGAAAGATCATTGAAGGCGAGTCGAGAGTGATTCATTATTTGGACACTAGAAATATGAAAATATCACTTAAGTAAATAAACGAACAAAATAAAACACACAAAAAAGAGGTAAAAAATGAATTGAGGTACCACGGTAAAATGGGGTCATTATTTTTGCTTTTTAACTGAACTTAATTTTTGTCAAAGTACTTTTCATCCTGGTGACAGTGAAGTTTGTGGCCTTAACTAAGTCACAACCATTAGAAAGTTTATTACCCCCCCCCCCCCCCCCCCCCCACCTCCCCGACTCTGACCTTTGTTCTACATTTAATCGGCCCAAGGATTCTGTCGAGAGTAACGCATGCGCATTGTCTTTTTTTTCATTACGATAATATGCTAATAAGTGGAAATGAGCTCATGAATATTCCAAATTTTAATTTACATATTTTACGCGCTGCGCGCAATCCAAAATCCCCATTTCGCTGGTGCACTAAACATTTGTCGTCTTCATAGGCTAATACACGATAAGTGGAAGCAGCGTGCACTTTTGACCCTCCAAAATCTCCCAATGGCTAGACTGCTGCAGAAGCGGAATTGAGCCCCCCTGAAGTTATTGCTCCATATTGCTCCGATTGTCTCATTTTCGCTCGCGTGAACATTGCCAGCACAAACCACTGACCTCTACCTCCTGAACGGATCATCGCCCATTCCCATTCACTATACGTTACGTACTAAAAGGCTGTATTGTCTGACCGTTCATGAATATTCATGTTTTTGCTAAACTCGGCAAAATGTTTGCTTTTACTAAATGGAAAAATTACGGTGGGGGGTTGGATGAAATGGACATAATGAAATAGGCAGAAGTGATCTATGATAATTCATGCTTTTTATGTTTCGTGTGCTCGACCTATAATCTTCAAATCGCTTGGTAAACTGAGTCCAAAGTTAGACTTGTTTCACATGTGTATTATAGGCAATGACGAGCTTGCAACTAGCTATTTTGAAAATTTACGGTGGGTGAACTTTCAAAAGTAAATGAGACATGAGGGCTCCAATGAAAGAGCTAGTGATAACGTACGTCGGGGTGGATGTGCTTTTCGTTTAAACAAAAAATGAATTTTTAACGATTTTTTAAAAAAACGTCCTTAGGCTAACATGTTAGGCTGCTGATTCTGATCATGCTCTGACGATAGGGGGCGTTGTAAAATGAGACTAAACGGAGCCATATGCAGAGCCGTCAAAGTAGTATAACATAGACTGTGTAATAAGTTGGACAACTTGGACTACGGCACATGATTCTTTTTTAGGCTAGCACGCAACTTAAATAGAGTTAGTCTGTTTCTGTGTATATAAGCGGCTCTGTTGATAAATAGCCTTGATTTAAAAACAATATTTTTTCCAACACTTTTGGCCACTTGGCTTCCTGACAACGTATTTACATGGTATGAAGTGCATGTTATGATACTAAAACAGTTGAAATACTTTCTCTTGCAATTAGTGGAGCCATTTTCGTAAACATTACTGTTAGTTGATGATTCTTTGAAGTGTGTCCTTCGTCATCCATAGGGCCCCTCCCATGGCAGAGAGAAAGAGAGATGCTCCAACAAACCTGAGAAAGCCACTCACGGAAGGGAGATGTCTGTCTAAGAACGTTTCCTCAAATGGAAGAGCTGGCATGTCCTGAAAAAATGTAAGGAAAGGACAAACAAAAAATTCCAAAGACTAATTGGGAAACCAATTTTCTACTAATTACTGGGAAACAGTTTTATTTCTCTCTTCATTTAAAATGGATGTTCATGAAGTGATAACGTAAGTAGTATTAATGGTGCCGAAAAGTTAAAACGTTGCAAATTCAATTTATTGAGACACTGTGTAATGGACAGCGCTTACATCAGTACAAGACTTCACCTGACGATCGCCTGTACGTATAACGAAACGAAGAAGATGACACATGATTCGAAGTTTTTCAGTATGTAGCCTGTTGTAAGATTTATATGGCTTACTTTCCACTGAGAATTCATGGCAGCAACAGATAAGAATTTGCAATGATTGGACTGGATATGGATGAAGATGACTGATGAAGATGACCATGACATCGTATGGTATGGTATTTATTTCATTCTTCATACAAAAACATATTGATTTGATTTGATTTCTGCATTTTTTCCAAATACAATATAACTGAATTACAAAGAACATATAAATGTAAGGTATAATACAACATAAACAAACAATAATTTCTTCAGGTCAAAATGTTTTTTTTTACATAATATTATGTACATATAATAACGAAACTTATTATTTCCATAACATATTATCATAAATTTAAAGTATTATCCGAACTATTGGAAAAGTGAAGGAGACCGCAATCATAAGCAAAGCTTGACAAGGATGGCGGCCTCAAAAACACAAATATACAATACATACATACTATTAAAAATATAAATTACAAAAAATTGAAATACATAGATACATGTAGTAGGGTAACATTATAGATAATATGAATACAATAAAATTAACAAGGAAATTAGTTAAGAAAGCAAATTTATGTCGAATGAGGGGTCTACAAAAAAGAGCGTTTAGCCTTGTTGAACGTTAACCCCTAAACAAGTACGTAATTAACATCACATTAGGAAGAAAAAGAAAGCAGGTGAAAACAGTAAAAGGGAAAAGCATATTGCTCCGATTGTCTCATTTTCGCTTGCGTGAACATTGCTAGCATAATCCACTGACCTCTACCTCCTGAACGGATCATCGCCCATTCCCATTCACTATACGTTACGTACTAAAAGGCTGTATTGTCTGACCGTTCATGAATATTCATGTTTTTGCTAAACTCGGCAAAATGTTTGCTTTTACTAAATGGAAAATTACGGTGGGGGGTTGGAAGAAATGGACATAATGAAATAGGCAGAAGTGATCTATGATAATTCATGCTTTTTATGTTTCGTGTGCTCGACCTATAATCTTCAAATCGCTTGGTAAACTGAGTCCAAAGTTAGACTTGTTTCACATGTGTATTATAGGCAATGACGAGCTTGCAACCTATTTTGAAAAATTACGGTGGGTGAACTTTCAAAAGTCAATGAGACATGAGGGCTCCAATGAAATGCTAGTGATAACGTACGTCGGGTGGATGTGCTTTTCGTTTAAACAAAAAATGAATTTTTTAACGATTTTTTTAAAAAAAACGTCCATAGGCTAACATGTTAGGCTACTGACTCAGATCATGCTCTGACGATAGGGGGCGTTGTGAAATGAGACTAAACGGAGCCATATGGGAAAACGTAATACAAACAAATATATACACAAATATATACACAAATATATACGTCATGAATCAAATATGATATTCAAGTTGTTGAGTACAAATTTAATAAAAACAATCGAAAGGAACGTTTAAAACTATTTACGGAAGGTTGATTCTTTAGATGGTTTGGAATCGTGCAACAAAGTTACATAAATGTGATATTATCCTCACCTCAGCTTCTGGTTCCTCTTGCCAGATCTCATCTTTACTTATCTTACCCATGGCATGCAGTATCTATAATGAGATAAGAAAAAAATAAATAGAGAAAACAAGACAAAGAGAGAGCCAGAAAGAGAGAGAGCGCGAGAGAGAGAGAGAGAGAGATAGAGGCAGAAGGTGGAAGAGGAGAGTGAGTACGATATGTATATATAATGTATATATATATATAGAGAGAGAGAGAGAGTTAGAGAGAGAGAGATAGAGAGAGAGAGAGGGCGAGAAAGAGGATAGATTATAGGGAACAGAGTGAGAGAGACAGACAGGGGAGAAAAGGGGAAGGGGGAAGGGGGTAGGGGTGAAGAGGAGAAAGAGAGAAAGGACAGAGTTATCAAGAATGTCTATTTTCTATATATGAGATATTTGGCTTGAATAAGTTGGAATGAAAAACTCTCTAATATAATGTTCTTTGCGTCATCGAATGTCTAGCCAATGTCTTACATGATTCACTGGATGGGTGAATCTGAATCCAAGTAAATCAATAAGCTACACATATTTACAAAAATAGCATGTCAAAGAGTAATTAAGCAAGTCTTGTTTGACTGAATCTACTTCATAACAGGTATGCTGTTATTTTTCAGTGTGCACATCTCTATCAGTATTATCACAACCAACACTATCACTATCACCACAAGCATCACCGTCATCACCACCATCATCATCATTATCATTATCACCACCACCATGAGCAGTAACACCACACTTGAGCTTACCTCTCTTGCGGCCCTCTCCCCTGCCTGTACTGCTCCATCCATGTATCCAGACCATTTGGTAGCCGTCTCTGTACCAGCAAAGTAAAGACGACCTATTGGCTCTCGTAGAACCCTGTTGTCGATAATTATCAAGAAGACGAAGATGATCAACACACGAAATAAAATTCTAAATCGATCATTCATCTATGTCATTGCTAGATGAAAACACATGTGTAATTCCATTAATGCTCATTTAGGTCCATTTTTATACCCATTTCATTTCATCAGGATTCAATATGGTACCAAGTTTATTTCCACATAATGCTCTCTGAACAAAAGTTGCATTAGATAAATTATACTTAGAATTTGTTCAATTTAAGTATTGTATGCACAATGTAAATGAATAAGAGGAAACAAGCAACGGTTGATTGCATAGCTACTCATTACGACAGCAAACTAGTATACCCATTGAATATAAATATATGGAAACAAATGTATTCAATACATACTACCTCACTTTAGTTTTCTTGAGTTCAAGTTCAGTTAATCCTTTCAATTCAGATTAGTTCGTTAACTTAATGTCAATTCAGATTGATTCAGTTGGGTTTAGTTCAGTTAAATTTAATTCATTTAAATTCAGATTAGTTCGTTAAATTAACGTCAATTCCGGGCAGGCTAATTCAGGTGGGATTAGTTCAGTTCAATTTAATTCATTTCGATTCAGGTTAGTTCAGTTCGATTCGGTATACTCAAGTACAGTGCAATTCGGTTTAATTTAGGTCAGTTCAATCAAGTTTAAGACAAATAAATTCAGTTTATTTCAGGTCACCTCAGGCCAGTTAAGGTCATGGAAGGAACGGTAAAGTTAGTTGAATTCAGTACAGTTCTCTTTTCTCTCACAATTTTTTTTTTAATGAATATTAAAAAAAAAAAAAAAATTCCAACCACACATATCGCTATAAAAAAACTCAAGACAACTATTATATGTATCATTTTTTAAATAATTCAATCTACATGTATATAGACCTGATGATGAGTCTTAAAGACCCTGTCGGAAGTAAACAATAAAATAGATGAATTATATATCAACGCATAGCTCATCAGCCGTAGATTACAACATTATCAATTATATGCTATTTTAGTGTCTGTTAGAGTATAACAGAAGATAGAAGATAACTGCTCACTGAAAACTCGAAATCTAATGCTTTGAAAATCGGGAGTTTTCGACCTAAAAAGTAGCTTTCGATTTGATGACATCATCTTAATGGAGTATGCATATTTACAATGACTATGCATTTATTAAGCACGGCTCATCGCCTCATTTATATATACAAATTAATGACGAGCTGATGAGGTCCACATGCCAAGTTGTCACCGTAACTGCGGCAAATGTGATCCCTGTTGACCCGTAATCGAGGGGGGGGGGGGGGTGCAGAAAATAAGGTTTTAATTTGTTTTTGTGCAATACTTAAAGGGAAAATATTGTTTATTCCTTTATGTTTGTATTCATGTAACTTTCGATATTGATATAAAGTTGTATTTGCATAGGATATTTGTATTCTACGTTCATTCAACTTTCTATTGAATGATATAAAGTTGTATAATCAAGGGATAGGTTTTTTAATGTTCTTACTTGCAGTACTTGGTGATAACACCAGGCGGTGTGAATCCTACATAGCCTCCTCCAATGTAAGGCTCTTCCATCCAGTTCTTCTCAACGTAGAAAATGGGCTACAATGCAAACACAATGCAGTGAAGAAAATACTCTTGCAGTGATACTATAATCAGTAATGATAAATACAGAATCGTGATCTGAAAGTGCTCAAAAAGATATTTTTTCCTTCTTTAGCTTAGCTTATTATTACCAGCATGAGTATCATTTATACAAGATGGGAATGGAGAGGGTACATGGGGAGTGTAGGATTTGGTTTAGATGCAATGACCGAGGTGATAGTATATTGTTTATTAAGTCTGCGTGTGAGTAAAGCTGTCCATAATGAATATTTATAGCTATGCCCGTATACAGGTGCGTACGCAGGGGGGGGGGGGGGGGGGGTAACCCCCCTTTAGTTTTGTACGTGTTTTTTTTTTTTAGCAAACCCCCCCCCCCTTTTTTGTGGATTTTTTTTACTCCCCCCCTCCCCCGCTTATTCAGCGGCTGGCTGAGTCTTTCCTAATTTTTTGCCCGATCTCAAAATGTTAACCCCCCCCCCTTGAAAAGATCCTGCGTACACCACTGCCCGTATACATGTAATCAACAGTATATTAGCATTACGTATTTATTATTAACTGTAATCAAGAATCTGTAAAATATTTTTTTTATTAGAAATATGTAAAATTTCGTAAAATACATTCTCACCTTGAGAGCTAAATCGTTTTTCAACAATATTGCATACCTCTGAGCTATCCGGTCTCTCCTAAAATATGCATTGATTATGTTAATAATAGTAATAAAAACACAATAATGACGATAACAGTGATGGTGGTAATATTATCAATGCAAATTTATATTCAAAAAATCATAATAAGAAGAGCAAGATGGAAAGGAAAAATATTTTTTTTAAATAGGCAGAATAGGAAGGAGGAGGAGGAGGAGGAAGAGGAGGAGGAGGAGGAGGAGGAGGAGAAGCAGATGAATAACGTATTTTATCAGTGATTGTTTGCAGCCACGTTTTATCCTCTACAGGCGGAATTTCAACATTATTCATATAATTTTTGACAGAGGGAAAAAATACATCTAGTGATTATCATCAAAATGGGTTCATGAAGTTAGATTACATTTGGACTGTTTAAATATGAACAATGTAAAAGGGACCATAGTTTATTGCGATTAGTTTCATGAAATTTATATGTGACGAATGACTCACCTCTCTTCTTTGGAAAGATGACAATGCTCTTTGGCGCCATCTCCAGACATGAATCTTGAAATAAACATACATAATTATATGCTACAATTCTTGATTGCAGATGTACAAATAATAACTTGTTTAGTTGGTTGGGTGGTTGGTTTACTTTTCCGTATAAAAAAAACACATGAACATATAGATATACAAATAGATTATCAACACAAAAAGAAGATATTGATAATAACTTTTACAATGATAATGATGATAATACTACTTAAACTACTAACTACTACTTCTATTACGACAACTACTTAATGATAATGATAAAACAAATAATAATAACAATATCAATGATAATGACAATATTGCATATGGAAATCTTAATAAATTTTTAGGCATTCTTTACATAGACTACAAAATCTAAATAATTCCTTTTCAATTTTGAGAAGCTATGTTGATATTATGCAATGTGTTTTGATAATGTCATGTATTTGTTGACTTATTTCTCTAAAATGTAATAGAGGATGATACCAACCCAACAAGAGGATGGTGCCCCTTGGAGGTTTGACTGCCATCATATCGTATTTCTGATATAATCCCATCTGCCAAAACTGAGCCAGAATAACCTAGAATAAAATCAGACAGATCAAGTGTAACAATTACTGTTTAACGGGGGGGGGGGGGGGTATGTCTTACTGAGGCGTGTACATTATCCGCGTACACGAAAACACGTAAAAAAGATCACATTTGTTATCACTAGGCGCGAGTAACCACGTATCGCCTCAGATGTATAAAAAGCAGGGGAAAAGCAGGGAAAAGGGCATCAAATTCAATGATGCTAAGAAGATATACGCGGTAAAGGTAGGAAATTTAATTGCCTCAGTCGGAACAAGAGGGTACGATAGGATTTTAAAATCCAGTGGAGATGCACGATAAAAAGAAAGATAAAAGCAGGGACAAAAAATGTCTAGGAAGAAGCTATCCTCGAATAGGGTGTATGATACCAGCCTGGATATGGTTTTACGCCGATGATGTACAGTGCTCAATGGGACATACCCCATGAGCTCTTCTTCTTCTTCTGATTAAATCTGCCTCCTTCAATAATATTGACTGAAGATTCTTGCAAACTATGTGCGTTTGCGTGTGAACCGCAACTTACGTCCATTCGAGTACTATTTACAATATAATACAGTTTATTCACAATATAATACAGCTCTCTTTCTCACGAGTCACGAGGTAACGAAAATCTTTTGATTAGCGAAAACTTATGCAATATCTGAAACTGGGAGAATAGCATCTTTTAGAAGATTCTTTATATTTCACAGTTTTTTCCTTCATTTAAACTGCATAAAAAGTTTTTATAAAAGTTATAGTGCTAAATAAACATGAAAGGTGCTGATATTCATCATGAATGCATGCAAGCATTAATGAGCAGTTTAGAAATTTACCAGAGTCTCTCCAGAAAGGCCGTTCATAGTACATCATAGTCTTGATCACAGCCCCCATTGGATACCTTTGGTTCAGCTGTAAAGGGCAGATATGACACGAAATGATTCTAGTGTCTGGTGATAATCATAATCATCATCAATAGTGATCTGTCAGTTTATGACAGGTTCAGTGACCCATTCAAAATTCTATATCAAGTGTCTCTCCAAGTTTCTCTCCAAGTTCCTCGGTCTTGAGCCAAACGTTTCGTCGTTTCATACCCTGTTGCTCCACATTTGGAGGGTTTTGAGAAATGTGATGTTGTAAAAGGTCGTTGGGTATTAATGAGTTAAGGGGACCTCCCTACATAATTTATAGGTAGACAACCTTCAAAATATGCTGCTGGAAAAAAATGGCGGCCATGAATAACTTGTAGTTGAACAATTCTGGAGATTACTTTTTAACAGAATCTCATTTTACCATGTGTAAGGTGTTATATGAAAGATCGTATCCCTTCCAATAGGTTTGGACATGATTTGCATAAATCTTTTGAGCCAAATTTTTGTTTAACAATTATTGTGAGCATTACTGACTAGATAATTATGAAAAACTGTCAAGAAATATGGTTAATATTGTATACAAATTCAAAGTTCATTGCTTTTCTAACAAAAGATTTATAACGCTCTAAAGTTGATACTCATATGCGCCCAAATAGCAATGTTGGTTGCTAAGGACTGTCTTCTCCTCAGCATTCTCCTTAGCAACGGTGACATAGTGAGATGACAAAAAGAAAATATCGCAAGTAATTGCGACCCCCCCCCCCCCCTCCAATTAAACCAAGAGAAAATTCGAAATGGTGGCATTATGTTGAGCAGGGCGTGGAGTGTTTTCAGAAATGATGTAGGCTATCGGTCGAGTGATACATAAAGTAAGATCTGGATTCAGGTGATAGTCATGATTTCCAGCCTGAATCATCAAGATAATGGATACAGGAGTTCAGAATTTGCCATCCATAATCCCCTCCCCCTTCTGGAATTACCCCCTCCTCGTTAACAACTAGAACACTTTGTGCAAAACGATATTCATAAAGTATACTTCAAACGAAAAAGAGATCAAAATAAGAGAATCTCCACACGGCATTTAAAATCTCTTGGTAGACTTAAGTGATAATGCCTGCCAAGGAGTCCTAATTCTGACTTATTAATATGCATCAGTCCGCAATTAGGACAATAGGCTAACTGTGAATGTTAGGCTTCATTTTCTTTAAAAATAGATTTATTTTATAACAATTATTGTTGCTTCACCTGATTTCTGAGTGACGGTAGATTAGGAGTAAATGCAATCTTATTGAGCATGGCAGGAGGAAGAGCTGCAATTATATACCTGGCCTGAATTGGATGATAATAAAATGAATTTAAACAAATTATAAATCAGCACAAAATTTAACAAAAATAACACAAAATGTGTGGTCAGCAGAAGAAAAAAAAGTAATGTAGTGCAAAGGCAGGATATCAATTTGGTATAGAAGCATTTAAAGTTAATTTGTTTGTGTCATTTATCAATAAGTTTTGTGTCACTCGAGATTAATGTCATTCATGAAGGTGCAAAACATACAAGCCGCTGTCTCAAAGAATTTATTATTGATTATTGAAAGAGGTTTGAATTGATACACTAGTTCCCGCTGGTTTCTCACTGCACTGACTGCTTTCTTCTATCAAATCCTTTTTTTTTTCAGTCACTAAAAGAAAACATCATCATATTTGTTGGTCCTGCATGCATAGGAGCATCAACAAATGATTTAGGCCTACTGCAGCTTGTAATTGTCAACTGTACTTTTGATGAACACGTTAAATCTCATTCATATACGGACGTACAATGTATATTCACTTCATGCTCTTAAAATAATGCACGTTACAACTAAATTATTCGTACCCTAATTAACAATTTTTTGGGATTTTTTTTTAAGTATTTGAAAATTTAATCTCTCCCGACTCATTTTGATTGAGAACGTGGCAAATTAGAGCTCTAAATGTATTCAACAAAGGCCCTAATTCAACCAAGCTATACCTTTCATTCTTGCGTTACGAAAAGCACAACATTTTCAAATTCACAAGGAAAATAAATTAGATGCTGCTTGTAAGTCTTGGCTTGCATGGTGATGTAGTAGGCTTGCGGGTAAATAAGTTATTTATTTGTTAACTGTATATCAATAACTCTGCATTTCACCTTGTATGAGTCACCAGTTGCTGTGGTAACTGTCACACAACCAGCATCCTGGGAGACACAGGTTACTGCATTGCTCAAATAGACTCGATCTACAAACAAATATAACAGAATTAGCAACCCCCAAAAAGTTAAATAAATTGAAATCCAACCTTCAATGAAAATAAATCAGAAAAGTAGACTGGTGAAATTTTGAATGAAATCGGGCACAAAATTAGCGAATTTTTGAAAGTTGTGATCACTACCGGTATAGCCTCTTCAAATTAGCTGAATCGATGATGTCTCTGTAATATAGTAAGCAAATAATTACCGTTGGTGAAGGTGATGGGACAAACTATCACTTCCGAGGCGATCTGGATGTAGCTATCTTTCCGAAGCGAAGCTGAGGAAAGATAGCGTATACTTTCTGATCGACGAGGAAGTGATAGTTTGCCATCACCTGAAACCAAAAGGTGATTATTTGCTTTATATTCCACATCTAAAACAATTTAACTACAACAAGAAAGGGACGTGTTTGCATCTACATAAAAGACACATAGGCCCAAATTCACACAAAAGAAGTTTAAGTTTAACCCAACCACTTGAGGGTACGGTGCGCGCATGTGTTTTCTTTAATTGCGCTCATTGGTAATGCGCGCTTAATTACGCCTGTTTTAGTGCGCTTTTGGATAATCTTCAGCGACAGTGCGTTGCCCTGTGTAGATAGTACCTCTATCTTTAGTGAAAGTGCGTTGCACTGTGTAGATAGTAGTACTATCTACACAGTGTAACGAACTTTTCGCTTCTCCCATCAATAATGGGCAAACTATCTTTCATCACGTGAGCTACTTTTGACCAATCGTAGAGCAAGATTCTTAGTATGTGGGATATAATGGCGGACAACTTTTCCTCAAGGCCCATAAAGATGCTATCACTGCGAAGATATTTCCACCAGGCGCGGATCCAGGATTTCTTAGGGGAGGGGGCCCAACTTGTTTTTTTTTTGCTCCCGAAAATTTGAAAATCGCGCCGGCCGAAAAGTCGCTCAGTGGGGGGGGGGGGGGGGGGGGGTAAGCGGACATTGAGAGCGCCAGGGGGGGGGGGCCAACCTCCAAAAAAGGTAAAAATCGCGTGATTTTGCATGATTTTTTTCTCAAGGGGGGGGGGGCGGGCCCCCGGGTCCCCCCCCCTGGATCCTCCACTGATTTCCACTTCATGTATTTAAAGATGACAGATTAATAAATTTGCTTATTCTAACCTTTTCCAAGCTGCTCTGCTATTTTGAGAGATATTTTCTGGCTACCTCCAACAAATTTCCTTTCCTGAAATAAATCATAACAGAAATCAATCAGGAAACGACCCAGTTCCAGGGGAACTTTTTTAAACAAGGCCACCATGGGCTTTTCCTTTGTTCTCCTATTTTATTTGAAGTTATCGTATATACTGAAAATTCTTTGTATGTATATATATATATATATAATTGTATGTTTATTTGCATTTGCTGTGTTCTGAAGAAAATAAATGAATACACGAACGAATTCATGAATTAATAATAAATGTAACATTGAGTTAAGATGACACATAATTATGTTCACTGTTTTCCCATTGGTAGCAGGGTATGTACTGTTTAGGAATATTGATTTACCCACCTGAGCACCATTCTGTGTGGATGAGTACCGCAAATAACCTGTTTAACATAGATTAATAAAACAAAAGTTAGAAATTCAAAGAAAGATGAAGAACTATCTAGGTTTTGTATACAGTCCATAGTTATTTGTGTATATCATTAAACTCAAGTCAAACTGGAATAACTTTTTTGTTTCAATTATATAATACGATTTCTTTCGAACGCCAAAAATCCAGCAAATAAAATGTTTGCCAAGTTATATTTGTAGATTTATGTAACAGTCTATATACTACATTGCCATTCCCTTTGAATAATCATGAATAAATACGAAACTAAATCATGAAATGTAGTCCATATGACCATGCATCCCCCATCCGAAAACACCACTTCATTCTCTTATTCAAAATTAATTTAACCGAACCCAGCTACAAATGCGTGCAGAAAATTAATTCAATCCACTCCAAACCATGCACTTCAAATCAGTTCAATCCAGTTTAGTGCTTTTCATTCCAGTACAATCAGGCTAAATCTTACCACAACACCCTTTGATGTACCATAGGAAATAAAGGAGTGACAGATCTTTGTCTTCAGCGCATAACCCACAGCAGCAGTGGACAGTGATGAAGTCTCTGGTCAGTTGAAACCAGAATGTCTTCTCGGCCCATTCCTTGACCGTCATGCTATCCCATTCCTCCGCCTCAGGAAAGTCCCAAGGATGATCCATTGGAATCTGAACAAAGTTTTATTTAAAGACCGTCGATACTACTGGGCCAAAAGGGATTAGACCACACAGCGAGGTCACTGACAGGTGGCTATCTGATCTCATTAACTCAGCCCCCAACTAACATAAGAAAAAGAGGATCATGGAGGACCAACAGGCACCGATTGGGGAAGTTTTCTATATAGAGGGAGCACGTAGCTATAAGTAGGACAGTGGGGCTTTAAATGCATGCCTTATTCGTTATATTTATTGCATCTCACCTATGAAATCACGCATGCACGGGTAATTTTAGAAATATAGGGATGGGAGGGGGGTCTATTTCGAGCCTGAAGGGCAATAACTCTATGTTAAATAGGGCAATATCTGTGAAATATCGGAAGTCAGCAACTACATGTCTCTTTGGGGGGGGGGGGGGGTAATGCCATCGGGGGGGGGGGGGTAATATTCCCGCTGGTTATTGCCCGGGGATTATTGTCCAGGGAGTTATTGTCCCACAACCCAATACAAATGCGCAATGGTTGCACTTGAAGTTAACAATGGATACGCGCAGTGTATATAATATATTTTTTAAAAGGCATACTTTGATTTAAAAAAATATATCTTTTTGAGAATTGATATGGCGATGCGGTGTAAAAAAATCGATGATCTCAAAATAACATCGTCTACATCTAATCATATAACATAACATCACCCTTCATCCCATCATATTACATAACACCAGTCTACATCCAATTATATAACATAACATCAGTCTACATTCAATCATATTACATAAATCATTTTACATCCAATGATTCAAAGATTTCAAAGATTTCAAATTTATTCATGTTTCCAACAAAACATTACAAATCAATTATAAGCATTTAAAACAAATTTAAGAAATACATGTTGGAAACAGAGGGGTCCACTAAAAAGCAATGCTTGTACAAGTGTGAACACCTCAAATGAAATTTAGAAATAATGAGTAATTAAATTAACTAATCTGTAACTACAAAAAAAAAACTACAAAATAGGGGGGGGGGGAATGCCAACAGAGACGAGAAAGGGACAAGACGATACTATACACGACAAAGATAGAAGAACACGGTCATAATACAAAGAGTAGACAATGACAAAAAGAAGTGAGAGATCACATCAGTCTACATCCAATCATATTACATAACATTACTCTACATCCAAGCAGCATGTAGCACATGGATTGAACATTACCTTTTTGCCCATCTTATCAATAAGGTGCCAGAAATGATTTAGATCCAAGCTGATGAAAGGGTTCCACGTATCTGGGTATTGCCCTGAAACTAGTCGCCATTTACCCTGAATAATAAAACAAAACCAAATGGCAAATTATTTGAATATTTCATGGAAGTACATATTATATTACACCTATTTCTATGTAGCTTAGTATGTGAATAATATTGAATCAATAAATTGATGCCTTCAGTAGCCTTCAACGAGGATTGCAAATACGCGTAAATCAAAAACATGCACTTTTGAAGAGAATAAATAACTCAACTGTACATTTTGCTTAGAGTAAATGATTTGGTATCTTGGGTACAGGGGGTCGCGGGGGCGGATGGGGTGGGGGAGGGTGGGTGGGTGGAGTCTACATCTATAGAGGGTGAACTGCCTCAGTGCATAATCATAGAAACCCTAAAAGTATTCAATGTCACGCAATTGGGAAGCATGTGCTTGCAAGAAGAAAGTTTTTGCTTTTAACGATTGCTTTTAACGATTGCTTGCCAGTAATAATAGTGTAAGGCTTGTGCTAGTGATATTTAAATTTTGAATATGGTGATATGTTTAGGGTTGCTGAAGGTACAGGGTTTAGTCCAGAATCTGGCCGGTTCTTCATATCACATCCCCTACAGTTGATTCAAGCCGCCGAAGATGGCGTTATCAACAAACTCATTATACGCTCACCATCACCCTATTAACAACCCTATCGGACTCCATGTGCGCATGCGCTGGTTTCTCTCGCGAGTGCGCATGCGCAGGTTTCCTTAGCGAGCTCAATCTGGGCTCGCTATGGTACGAACAAATAAAACGCCGCCACCTGCCCAGCCTATTTTTCGCCTCGGGCGTCCCGATTTAATGATCACGCCATCTTCGGCTGGTAGCAAGTAAGTAGGGGTGGTAAAGCGGTGGTGTGGTGGATATCAGAATTAGATAGGCCAGATGCTGGACTAGGGTTAGGATTGAAGTTAGTTATATCATTTAGTCCTGGGTTAAGAATAGACTTTTTCTCATGCGTATGAATTCATCCGTACCACGAAATACTACTAATTACCCTATTGTACGCTACGGCTTCACCATCGTCATTGCAACGGAAGTTGTCCACACCAAGTTCCTGTGATAGTCTGTAGATGCGATCCTGGGTCGGTCCCATGTAAGCCCCGCCCAAGTCCGTGTAGTCTATTTCCTTGTCCTGTGGGACGTATTCAAACCATTGATATTACTGACTTCTACATAAAAAACGATGATAACAAGACAATGTACAAAATAATAGGCCTATACAAATATTTTATTTTGTTCAAAATAATGTTGTCCTCAGAGCAAGTAATTGATTGCCACTAGCTCTTCCTATTTCGAATCTTAATTTTCCTCTATGATATGGATTATATTGTTTTAAGTGAACAAAATTATGTAACTGCAAAATGCCATAGAAATAATTTCTATTTCCTTATCAAGAGTCATATTCTTTTTCTTGTCTTCAATCAAAAACTTACAAAAACGAAATTGAACTGTAAGCTATAAACTTGTATTGAAATGGTTAGAGAAACCAGGGAAATGTCAAATATTGAATGACATTGTTTCACGTTCATCCCGCAAACTCCTTTCATCACCCTAACATAAACAATTTTTTTTTTTAAACCAACGATTATAACAATATTATTAGTTGACTTTATATAGCACATTTCAAAAGAGGAGGCTCTCGATCTCCACTCCTCACAGTTTACATTTTATACAATAACTGGAAGAAAAAATATGCCTACATCCGCAGGGCAAATAGATCTCTCTTATAATGTAGACTCTTTTGTTAACCAATCAGAGTCATACTTACATAGAAATTGCATGTACGCCCTCCGATTCGATCATTGGCCTCCAGTACCAGTACATCTTGGCCAGATTCATGTAAGAGCTTGGCAGCTGATAGACCTTAAAGTAGATATTCATTGATTTAAAAAAACTAACTTTATTTTCATTAGTGCAAAGCTGAAACTTTGATTCGACAAGGTTTTTAAAATTCAACGCTTGGAAACAGGTGAAGTAATGATTATTATACATTACAAAACGCTTAAATACAGCCCCGGCATAGCACCTGAAGAGCTCTCCGAACGCTGCTGAGATGTGTGCCATCACAGTATGGACATGATTTGCACAAGCAGACGATGTCCCATGACATCTTACACATTTTCAGTGCCTGTATTCTCATCTTCTCTTGAGTTCTTTCTCTCACTTCACTACCGTCAGGCTAAATGTACTATTGCCTCACTGTAAACCCCACGCATGGTTTTATTTTGATGACAAATGCAGCGATACAATAATAAAGGAATCTGTCGCTTGTAAACAAAATAAGACGCCATTGTATATTCAGCTGCACACACCGCGATATGTTCGGCGTTTCAAGAGGGAACAAATGCCGTCCTTAATATTATTCCGGGTTTTTTTCAATTTGAAAATCTGGTTTCTTTGATTGTTAATTAACCCCTATCCTGTGTATTTACAAACAAAAGATTTTAGTTATCAGAATCGGTTTCATATCCCCTTTTGAATGGTTTGAAATGCCATCACATTTATATACACTAAACTCATTATAATTTGACAAATAATAGCTTTGCAATTATGTTCATTCTTTATGGAATGTCGTCTGCTTGGGCAGTATTGGTCCATATTGTGACGTCATTTAAACATTGTTATTTTTCTGGCGAATCTCTCGTATATCCCAGCTGCTATGGAGGTGGTTGTATTTTTATTTTTTTATAAATCACCCGATATGTAGTTGACCTAAAACGTGTACGATGGCCATCTGTTAGCTTGCCAGTTTATAGTGATACATTAGATGACATGTTTGTGATTTTCTTTGAATTTCCACTTTAAAGGGCTATTTTCCCGAGGGACATCGGCCGAGGGAGAATAGTACTAATGGTGTTCTATTGTCATTGTATATTTGTATATTATATACCTCACTTAAGAAATCCAGCCATCTGATTGGTCGAATTGCATTCATAAACTTCAACTGTTCCTGTAAAATTCTCGGTAACCATGCATAAAACATTTCAATATTTTTAATAACCATGGTTATTAAAAAAAGTTGGTCAGCGTCCATGGTTACCCCATAGGTTTACATGTTAAAAAATGGTTTGAGCGATGGAGGATGCCGTATGTGTGCGAAGGATTGGTCGGTAATTTCAATACAATTGAATCTCGATCGATCTTACCGACAATTTTATCTTGCATTGTTGACATGAAGACGAAAATAAACTTCCAAAAACAAAAAAACAACATCTGCCGATAGATCTTGATCTAAGTTCGTGCCAATATGCATTGCAAAAGTAAAAGAAGAGTCCGTATATGGAGCTTTTGCGAAGCATTCATCACACGCGAAGCCGGTTTCAATATTGGAGAAAACTGCCAAGCATGTTAACGGCGGGCCATAGCCGAGTGGTCTAAGCGTTGGTTTTCGGTACACCTCTTGTTGTACGCAAGAGTTCGAATCCCGTCTTCGACAAAATTGATAAATATTTTTAATTTTTCATTTTTTAGTCTATTTTTTTCGGCATATAAAAGTATTAATGACTGCTTTAATATTCGAGAAATAGTTGTTTTCATACGCTCTCGGGAAGGTTAGAATTGGGCTATTCCCCTCGGCAAGCCTCGGGGAATAGCACAATTCTAACCTTCCCTTGAGCGTAATAAAACAACTATTTCTCTCAAAGCAGTCATTAATACTATAATATACCACACAGACAATCTACTTATAGCACATAGTATGTATCAAGAGATGGGTATACCAACTACTATTTAACAGTTTCGATTGTTGCTGAATTAAGCAAAAATCGTTCGTAATTGCAGCTCTAAATACAACCCTGGTATATTCACTTTTTTAGGAATCATCACTTGGGATTACTTCTTACTAGAGTTGATTCCTCTCCAAACTAAAGTGGAATCCAAGGGAAGTAGTCGTTTAAAATACTCTCTTGAGAGTGTATTCCAATATTTGAAAAGTGGAGGCCTCTAAAGAAAGACATCCTTTAATAATTTGAAATCAACATCAAACAAAGAGAATATTTGTTGATTTTTCCATAACGGAGGTATTGTCTTTTGATTACCACAATATAAGAATGAACAAACTTGGTATAATAACCTCAACATGGACTGAACTGGGAAGAAGAGAACGTTTCCATGACCCCAAAACGGTGTCCGTTGTCTCGATCACCTTATTCTTCACGACAAGAAACTAGATTTCACATTTACTGGCTTTAACCGTATTTACTGGCCTTACAGTATAATCTAGGACATGAAAAACACGATGTAATGATTCATGTGCGCTATTGATGGTAACCCGACACATGCTCCGCCGACGACTGCTCCGCCGACATTTGCTCCGCAAAACGCGACACTTGCTCCGGTGACATTTGCTCCGCCGACATTTGTTCCGCCCAAAAAGTGTCCCATAAAATACAAATGCTTCGCCGACAATATTTTTTTTTCACGGGTTATTTTCGTTTCTTTTTTTTTTTTCTTCATTTTCTGAATGCATTTCATGAAATAATGTAGATGAAATGAAATGAATGAATGTTGATGACAATAATAATAACTACATTTGTAATACTTGTTTTGAACAAGTATAGGTGGGCTGGTCTAACTAAAATTTGAGACAAAATAAAGGGCAAATTTAAGATAGCTTATTGTCTCAGCTACAACATACTCGAATTTCAGCGTAAACGAAGCTAAAACGACGGAGATATTGCTCGCGAAAGACGGGAATGTAGAATCCAGTTTTGAGAAAAAGTCATGTCCCATAGAGAATACACGCAAAAAGAGAAAAATTGATATTCCTCCTTTAATCGCAAAAATACGCCCTGATGCTTTTGTCAAAATGAAAAATTGTGACGGCTGCATTCGTAGAAAATTGTCCCAGCTAGAACATTTGGAAGAAAATCGATCAATATTTACAGAGATACAATCAATTTTCAAAAAATATGCTGACGTCATAATATGCAAATTGGAATTTTGAGTTCGGAGGCCATTATGATGACGCCATGAGTTAATTGAGGGTCAAATGAGACAAGAAATCATATTTCCAATTCATACTCTACAAAATATGAAACAAAATTTGGGGTCACCTTACATCCTAAAGAGCTACAATGGATTTTGTATAGGCATGTTTTTGCCCATATATGCTATGTATTAAAAGAGCTCGCACGCATGGACGTGTATCTTAAACGGACGCTCACTCCGTTATTAATGGTCAGAAATATGTTATGCCTAGGTCACATATAAACCGGACCCCGTACGATTTTCCCTACCCGGCGGCTTGCTGTGAATTTAGAGACCGTACGGAAACCGTCCGATTTTCATTTCTACGGCATGTGTGGTCACATATTCTGCGGCGCCCGGGAGGTGCCCTGAGAAAATTGGTCGAGTAAAATGCAAGGCGCCCGTAAGGGTGCCGGCAGTGTGCCGGCCGAGTGCCGACCAGTAACCTTACGGGCTCCGTCTGATGAGCAGGTGTACCGATGGCTCCCGGAAGGTGCCCTGTCGGGGCCCGGCCGGGGTCCTCAAGGCGCCCGGTCGGGTGCCATGCGGTGCACTGAACTACAGAGCGAGTCAGAAAAAATGTCCCACTTTTTAAAAGTTGTAATGTTTGAAGTATGAATATTTAATCATGGGTTTCATGATATATCTTGAAAGAGTTATCCTCCCAATACATTTAGGTACCATTTTTATTTGAATCTCGGCATGCATCACTGAATCAAATATCCAGAAATGGACAATAAATACTAAATTGAAATTGAATTGAAATTGAATATCAGATAATCTTTACAAGACTGCCTGATCTCACTTGCGCCGAGTTACTTGGTGAGGAATAAAACAGTGCATTGAACAAACGCAGTCAGACACGCGCACACGCTGACACACCCACACACACACGCACACATAACACATACGGTGACATTGTTTCATAATTAGCCCTTTTCTGATTGAGCATTGATTTTTATCAAGATCGCTGAATGTTTAAGTGGCATAACCCTAAAAAAAAATTCCCTTTTGTACACATTCACTACCACCATCATATCATCATCATCATCATCATTGTCATCATCTTAATCTTCTTCTTCATCATCATCATCATCATCATCATCATGAAGCACAACATCCGCCAATACGCAACAAGAGGACAGCGGCCACTCAACTTTTCGTACGATAACAAGAACTCCCGACAAAAAGTAACAGTTTGGGTGGGCCTTGTCGGGAATGGAATGCTCATTTGTGTGCGTGTGTCTTTGCATATGCGTGTGTGTATTTGTGTGTTTTTGTCTGTCTGGATAATTGGATTATTGAAAAAAAATGGCTGTCTTTGTTCAAAACATTATTTTATTCCTCACCTAGCAACTTGGCGCAAGTGAGATCTGGCAGTCTTGTAAAGATTTTTTGATGTTCAGTCATGCATGCAGAGATTCAACTGAAAATGGTACCTTAATGTACGGGGAGGACAACACTATCAAGACGTATCATGAAACTCATGATTAAATATTCATACTTCAAACAATACAACTTTTAAAAAGTAGCACATTTTTTCTGACTCACTCTGTAGGTGTCCTCTGGTACCCGCATCTCCTGTTTTTAAAACTGCGTTGTACATTTCGAGATGCCGCCGTGAGGGACCCGCACGGCCAATATTCATTTTAATTGGCCCACGGACGGCAGACGCCTATTGTTGTGCATATCCCCGGGGCTCTTGAGGGGCCCGTGAGGGCACCGTAGGGAACACGTACGGAACCCTTGAGCACCGCAACGCGCCCGTAAAGATTTTTCATGAGAATTGACCCCCAAAATCGTGAGGGGGCCGTCCGGGCACCGTCCGTAAGGTGTCCTACGGGCCCTTTACGGGCTTTCTACGGCCTAACGGTCAGATAAAAACGCCAGGAATA